CAATATGGCGGAGGTTTCCAGACTGACAAAAAGACTCCGAAAGCTAAGACTTAAATACCGTGTGAAAAACACAGCAGATTTTAAAATTTTATGTGCAATCAATTAAACTAATGACAAGCGATCGACGACACGAACAGAAACATAGAAAAAGACAACATGTAAAAATATTGTTAACATGTCAATAGAAAGGAAAATATATTTTGTACTTTAATAACGCTCTTTGGATAAGATAGAGTAAAAATCAAAGAAGGAAAAGAATATAGAGTAGAAAATAAAAGAAAAAATGAGAAAATAAGAGAAGATATTTAATCAGAAGAGAAGACAGGAGAAAAAAATTAAATTGAAGAGATGAAATGAGAGGAGAAGGTGAAAGAATAGAATAAAAACAGAATGGAGCATAGAATAGTTAGAGGCCTAGATTAGAAAAGTATAAAAACATTATGGATTAGACTAGTATAAAACCCAGTTGCCCAGAAACGACCAGACAAGAATAGAAAAGAATAGGTAAATAAGATAGAATATAGAAGAGCATTTGTTTGCCTGCGAGGTGGGGGTGGGGTTTCATTTTGATAACGTACGGTTTTAAAAAATTGGGTAATTTAGTATTATCAACTGAGTTGAAAAGGTAGATTGGCCTCCGTAAAGAGTTTAAAGGCTGACGTTTCGAGTGTTAACCCTTCGTCAGAGCGATAGACGAAGGGCTAACGCTCGCAACGTCAGTCTTTAAACTCTCTTCGGTAGCCAATTTACGTCTTTGATTCAGTTGATTACACTTAATTACCCTGTTATACTCTCCCACCGACGCAGCACCACATTTTTTTTAGAAACTTACTCCCTTTATTAAAAAAGTTGGGTTTGGACAAATTTGTGCAAAATAAAGTTTTGTTCTTTAGTGTTTCACTAATAATACATTTGGCTATACCTACTAACAAGCCCAATTTTATAGTTAAAAATTCCATGACAGATATGTTCTACCTTAACCCTCATAAGATTACACGTTTGATTCGCTATTATACGGTTCTTTCTCACTGCAATCGTTTCTTCTTGTTGATAGTAAAAAGCTCACTCTCAGAAAGTTCTCTTTCTGTTGAAAGTGTCTTTGAAGCGGCCGTTGATGTTGGCAAATCACCACCTGACGAAAATAAATAAAAAAGTAAATATTTAGTTTGAAAGTATTGGATGATTCATAAACAGTTGGTCATGGCGCCTAGTGTTTGTCGTGCTGCAGAATTCTTAGAGGTAGATTTGCTTTTAAAAGAAGCTTTTCCCGAAAAAAATAGTCATTACGTTCTGAAATTACGATATAAAAATGCGTTAACAATAGTGAGTCCAACATTATAATTGACTCAAGAACAAGGGATTGTGAGTTAAAAGGTAACAGTCTGTTGAGGAATAGCTCGTGATTGAATATTTTAAATTCCATTTTTGGTAAAATCCCAAACTATCTTCACTTATGAAAACAACGTTTTAAAGCCAAGGTATAAATGACTGATACTCTGGGAAAGATACCAGAGTCGTTAACGACTTAACTTTTAAAGATATTCGATAAAGGATAAAGTAACATCTTGAAATTTAGTAGGAAAAAAAAAAAGGAATGAAGTGACGATTGCAGGCAGCATTCTTAGCTTTAAACGCCACGCAGTTATTTGTGTTATCTCAATACTTGTATGTACTTAAGCAGAGTTAAAAAATAGTGCATTCTGTGCTGGCTTTGGTTTTATGATAAAAAGCATCTTACAAATCCAGCGAGTGGCAGAGCGGATAGCTTGATTAAAAGCGCAGCACCCTGACCACCCGGTCACACTGGCTCCAAATATCCGAGAAAAGTTATCCATTTTAGCCCTGGAAAGTTACCGAAGTGTCTTCTTCTTGCGATAGTTTTGTGTTCCCTTCATATGCTTCTAAAGATAAAAATTCTAGGGCCAGTTTACGCAGACATTTGAGAAAAGAAGTTCTAATAGTCGTAAATTATTTTTGTTTCTTACTTGATGTGGAAGAAACAGGTTCGTCTCCATCGTCATCATCATTATCATCATGAGTAATTGTGATCATTTCCTCTGTAGTGAGGGGTTGTGCCGTCGTTTCTTAACAAGTTGGAGAAAAATCGCCCGGATTTTAGATAGCTCATACAATTTTTATTCCTGGTAAGGTTAAATGTTTTTAAGGGTGAATAGGACATGAATTATTACAAACTTTCAAATTGTAAAGGACAATAACGGATTTAGCGGCAATGACCTAAATCCCGGAACAAAGCATCATCATCACAACCAGGACTCAAACAGGAGTGCAATTTGGTCTGAAATCAAACGCGTGATTCACTTTGTTACATGTATTTTGAAATCGCAAAATTCAGTACACGATTTTTCAGTCTGTACAAATATTTTCTTCACCCAGTATAGAATTGGTTTGTAAAAAGTTGCAAAAGTTGTCTTTCATTTCCCTTCGATTAAATTGGTTACAAGCCTTCAAATCTGCTTGGTTGTTGTGTTTTAGTAAAGCTTTCTCGTTGGCTGGGAAAGAAACGAGATTTAGAACAAATAAATCGCAACAAAGATAGTCAATCAGATTGTATGAATCACACGTGATTTTAAACAGGGTGTAATAAGAACGAGGCAAGAATCAGCGAGGAAACGAACAAACAAAATCAAGTACTAATGAAAAGAACATTAATTCATATTCCTTACCTGAGCAGCCTGAAATCCTTTCACAGCGGGTCTGATTTTTCTAAAGAAAAGGCATATAATTCTTATTTACATGGGATTTACTTTACTCAAAGCCAAAAGAAACTAACATATAACATTGAACTTATATCGAGTATCCATTCGAAAGCGCTTATTGATAAATCTTCCGGTATAACGATCAGTTTCAAACACAAGTGAACAACAACAACAATTAAAAAAAAAGAAACAGCCTGTCTGGCTCGGTAAACCGAGTTCATTGGGAAACAAATAAATCAGATGACTGAGTAGAATTAGTAGTCAGTCGTCTATCCTAATAGACGATAGTATAAGTCATCGATAGTATGAGTGATCGAATCGTTAAGAGTTAAATCTGCCGAAGTGGCTCATCTGGCCGAAGCTTATCCAGCTTTCTGTAAAACAGAGCGTCTGAAAGTATAGTCACTCCACTAAGATGGGACGCTTCTTCGTCAGGAGGCACAAAACTGGAAATTTTGTTTTTCTAAACTAGCTACAATACAATTATTTAGGCTTTCAGATTCAAACTGGGTCATGCCTGTTCTTTAATTGGTGGAAACAGGGGATTTGGGGGCATCTTTAACACCTTTATAAACCCCCAATCGGGAAAGATTATAAACAAACTACATGCCTATAGGCGCATAAGTTTCTCTGAAAGATGGCCAGGAATGCTGCGGTCACCATTTGACATGCTCATTAACTTTTAACCCATGATAGTGACTAGCAATCAGACAATAGGTTTATCGGATTTAAGGAAATGATCGCGGACTTGAAAGGCTGTTGATTTTTAACTAAATTCTCCTTGTAAGAGCCAAAGGAAATGTATAAAGAACACTAGGGAGAATGTATATGCTGACTTTAGGGCGTGCTGGGTGAAACCACAACACAGTAAAACTAAATTAAGATTAAGACATTTGAAGTCATTTCCGATTGGATCAGAATCAGTGTCAAGGAAATAACCTCGTTACCAATTGAAATCTAGATAAAAGAAAGGAAAGAAATGGGGGAAATCATTTGCAAACAAAAAAGGAAAGCTAGAAAGACATACCTCGCAGCGACATATCTCACACGGACTCTTTTTCCACGAGGTTCCATCAGGTTTAATTTCAAGTTCAAAGACACATCCTTGACCGTCAACACTTTGCTTCCAGACTTCAATCGAAGCAAGCTTAAGGCAATAAATAAATTAATCATTAGGTGAACAGATTAATTAGCCTACAATTAGTTAGCAATAAATCACTTCCAGGTCATGATTGGTAAATTCTTCAAGCAGAAGATCTTGTGCTAGAGGGTAAATAAATCCATCCCTATTTCCAGATAGTGATCGGTTTCTTTATTACTTGGATGTGTCAAATGTAATTATCTGAGATGAATTTCAAGCAAATCCAAGAGCTAAATAAAGACCACACCTTGTTCTTTAGCTGTTCAACAGTCTGTAACAGAGCTTCAAAATCACTGCAGGTGGGGCAATCTGTATAAATAAATTACCATGACAAATCACGAGACCTCTTTTATCGGTTTTGTTAGGATTAATTGTAAGGGGAGGCATCTATTGGAGAACAATAAAGTCCCTCAGCTCTCTTGCTCTCTCTCTCCGGGGAATTCTTTCAGTGCTTTTAGTGGTTCGGACTTTAGTCTCATTTTTATTGTTTGATAAAAGTAGCATGGCAAGACGTTGAAATCACTTTAGAACACCCACGTTCTCAATTGGTTCCACCAGAGGCTGAGGGAGAACTGGACGGGCGGGTTGGTATCGACCGAAACTGAAATAAACTGATTTCCTGCCTAAAACTGAGCGCCATGCCTTTGATTTAATGGAAAGTAAGCTTGTTCAGTTACAAAAGCTTCACAAAACGTTAAAAAGAATTTGAAGGAGGTTTTACTTACGTCCGCACGTTTTCCCGTCAATTTGTAGTTTAAAGGTTGGATGACAAGTACACTGATATGAACCAGGGGAGTTTGTGCAGTTGTGATGGCATCCACCATTGTCCTGTGATATAAAAGAGAGGGTGAATTGAGGGACGGGCTTATCCAAGTAATGAAGTTCTAATCGCAGAGGTTGACTTCATTTTCTCGACTTTATGAGGACAGAATTCTCATCCAGTCAAATAGACCAAAGAGAGCACAAAATTTTACTGGTAGAATTTGCGTGGTTGTAAGGCGTTTCCCAATGAGTTCTTAACGCTGGTAAAAGGCAACAAAAACAAAAACAGAAAGAAACCAAAAGGTAACGAGGTTCATGCCTTATCGCAGTTGTTGACACCCCCATCTTTCTTTACCATGTTTTCATTGTTTTTGTTCTGCTTATTTTTGGGTCAATATTCTGCACATCCTTACCGTAAGACACTCGTTGATGTCCACACAGCGCTTCGGGTCACTGCTATCGATTACAAAACCTGAGTTGCACGAGCATCTGATTTTAAAAAAAAGCCAGAAATGATAAATACAATTCATCATGCAAAAAAAACGAAAATAAAAAACAAAAACAACAAAAAAAAAACCAAACAAACAAACAAAAAAGCACATACTAAGGAAATGGCTAATTTTTTACGTACCTATTGTTTCTTAGGACAAATAAATCTTGTCGTTTTAATTCTATATGCGAGGGCCGGAAATTACCCTCCGACGAGTACAACAGTGTACTAAAGCTGGGCAAATCTTCTTGCAGAAATCGCACTGACACAACCTTGGTTGGCAAATATCAGCTTAAACGCCTGACACGAACAAGTAAATATTTCTTAGTATGGTTCGCTCACCTATGGCTTCCCGGGTTATTGGTACAAATCTGTTCGCAGCCTCCGTTATTTGTTTGGCACTCATTTACATCTAGAGAGAGCAAATAAAATATTGAACGGAGTCACTTTTTAGTCGAACATAATGAGGTGAGGAAGGATACATCACAGTGAGCAGTGAGAAATAATCATTAACTCTAAAAGTAACTTTCTCAAAGGTTACGAACACATTGACTTTCCTCAACAATTTTTTTTTTATCATTGCTCAACTGCTAAAACTAAGCAGTACTGTTGGCAGTATCACTTGAAAAAAGGTCTGAAAAATAAGAGAGTCTCACTTAAGAGAAATTAAAATTACATTTTGTAAGAGGCTTTCACGTTCATCATTGCTCAAAAATACTTTTGACCACACAAACCCAAAACAACTCAAAATTCTCAGGTTGAGTCATATCACTTTCATTTTACTAACCTACACAGGTGCAGTTACTGCTGGACGTGTATCCTTGGTAACAAGAGCAGTTATAGCTGCCTTCTGTGTTGAAACAACCCTGGTTGCAACACGCAGTGTTCAGCAGACATTCGTCGATATCTGATTCAAAAGAAAAAGACCAGTTAAGTAATTGACTTATTTCCTTCTAAAAGTTTAGTTCCAATCACATACATAAACAGCCCCCCGTAAAGTAAAGAATTGATAAAGCACTGTGAAAACGTAATGCTAACGATTATCGTCGAATAATTCCCTTTGTTCCTCCGATATATCGCCGATATATCGTGCATTTTTATCAACGAGATATCCGAGCTTTCCTGCGATATCTCGTTCCAATGATAAAATGTTCCAGGGATATATCGCTCCGACGATATATCGCTACAATGATATCTCGCTACAACGATATATCGTAGAGCGTGTACTTCATCGTCATCGACATATCTCTCAAATGATATATCGCTCCAGTGCCGGATTTATCGCAGAACCAGGGATACATTATTGCGATAAATCGCCTCAAGGAATTTTCGTTTGGCGACAGATGCATACCTTTTATATCTCGTTCAAGCGAAATTGCACCACCACTTTTTTTAATGTGTTATAAACAATTTGCTTCTGTAGTCTCATTGCCACAGCAAAGGTAGCATTAAATGACAGCGTAGTCAAAAATTAATTATACTTAAAGCAGCCCAAAATAGCTAAGCAATCTAATATATACACTTTCCTTATTAATTTTTCTTCAAACGCTGGCAGCATTTCCTAGTGCTAACTTTACTTGTATTGTTTCTTCTGTGCTGCAGCACTGGTATGAAAAGACCTTAAAAAAACGCTTCCTTGTAGATTTTCACGTCTCAAAGCTTTCAACAATTCTACGGGACTCAGTTCGTATCCAAACCGCTGTTCGATTCGCACCCGTTCTAATAATCATGCATCCGAAATACCTTACGCGATTGCCCACGAACAGATGCCGATTCTTTCGTTACTTTCGAGTAAGATACAAGCAAACTTCTCACATGTATGCAACTGAACTTTTGTTTAGCGAAAGGTGAGTGTGATACATTTAATAGAACAGTCTATTGTTTATACTGTTTTGTTGTTTTCTTAACAATTAATAAGAGCAAGTGTAAGTGTGATTTTTCCCCTTTGTTATCAACGTTAAACAATTCGGGAAGTTAAGGTTTTAGTAATATAAACATGAAGTTTTAATGGGAGTTCAGTTAGGATGGAAAATAAACATATATGTAAGTATGTTTTCGGTTCCAAGCCTCATATTCGGTAATTTAGTATTTTCAAATGAGTTGAGAACATAAATTTGCCACCCTTAATAGGGCGAATGATTCGCTTATCACAACAGCTGTGGCAAAGCCAAACTTATCACAAGCCCGCTTTTTAACGATATGTACCTCTACATGTTGATCCATCTCTCAGAAGTTTGAAACCATGATGGCAAGCACATGAATAACTGTGAGAAGACAAAACATATATTGGGAGGGTCAGAGATACCTTAGAGTTTTTAACGTCATTTTCTTTAAATCTTGCATGATTAGCAACAATAATCTTAAGGGACACCAAAAAATTTCCTCGAAACATGCAAGGTTACCCTTGGGAGATATTACGCTGAGAATTGGACGTTATAAATATTGAGATCTCTTAAGCGATTGAAGTCTAAGGTGACTATGACAACATGAAATAATAATGATGATAACAATAATAGAAAAATAACAATAACGATAATGTAGATGATGTTGATTATTACACTGATTGTAACGACAATAATACTTATTCTTTTAACATTCAGAGACATTGACATCGAACAGCCAAGTAATTAGAGGGACCTCGTTCATGTTACTCACAAATTCACTCAGCCTTGACAGAGGTACTGAAAAACCTGATACAAGCTAGGGGGACATCAACAAGTACAAACTGACGCAACAACAAAGAAATGTTAACACTTTTCCAAACGTCTCTTCCTGATGTCTCCCTACGAGTTCCAAGCAAGAGCTCCTCTGTACTCAAACGAATAACTCCAGAGTTTCTGAAGAAACAATACCTTCCATTTTCATTTATACATCTTTGATCGCAACCACCGTTATCTTCCAAACACTCGTCGATATCTGTAATAAAGAGAGATAGTTGAAAACAGCTAGGACGATTCTGGAAAATCATCAACACCATTTTTGCATTTAACTTTGGAACTTGATCTTAAATGGTGTGCGGGTCAAAAATCTCACTTTTCAAGGCTAAATGCCAGTCAAATATCAGAACCCATTCACACACGCCCAGTTGTCAATCTTAATTAAGAAGGACAACTTCCATATCCTATTTTTCAAAGTTACGCCCCTTTGGACACATTGTTAGTTTCAACTGCAAAAAAATTATTGATTCATTAAATCCTCATTAATATAGCTTAATTCTAGATATTGAAGTATTTTACCTTCACAATGGTGACCGTCTGCTGCCAACTGATAACCAGCTGGGCACAAACATTGGTAACTTCCAACGGTGTTAAGACAACCTTTTTCGCATTTGCCCAGTTTACATTCATCAATATCTGAAGATATGGAAAGTCAAAGAGTAAGAAATAACCCGCACCTGCTATTGCTTGGGCCTGATTACTACCGATCTATTCAACATGCTGAGATCAGTAAAAGTAAAAAGGCTTTAATAACCTATTGTTCCCTCTCTCTGACCGAAAGCTAAATACTACTAATTTTCAGCGAATCTCTAAGTTAATGCCACACATTTACTGCACTGTAATCATTGAAAACCTCAGGTGGCCATGGGCCCTTGCCAGTTTCTCGTTTCTCGTTTCCAATGAATAAACCTCAATTGTTAGCAATACATACCGCTGCAGGTTTTGCTGTCGTTTTGGAGGTCAAAACCTTGTCTACATTCACAGTGGAAGCTACATATGAGAGAAATTTGCAATAAATATCACATCCTTAGAATAGCATAAATCATTTGAACAATCATTAGAAAATAAAAAACAAAAACAAAAAAAAAACAAGGAATAAACAGACAAACAAACAATGAACATAAATAATAATCACCATAAAACCAATGTTGATCTAGCTTATCAATCATTCATTCAAATTCAAATGACTAACACAGGCTTTCTGCGGCGTGAACCAACTAGGGGTATTACTACTTATCATGGAGAGAATCCTTACCCATCACCGCTAAACCTTCACCCTCCCCCTCTTCAAAAATATATTTTCGGGGTTCCCTAACAGTTCAGTCATCTCCTGCATGAATGGGGGCTTGGTTATGATAAAGTGTCTTGCCCAGGAAAACAATACAGAGACCCGGCCGATGCTCGACGTCGCATCTCAACGCAGTTTCTTGCGCTAACCATAAAGACTCTGTGCCTGCCAAAGAGTATCGATTGCGATGTATATTACAACTTCAATATTTAGAATCATTTGCTAGGCCAAGAGTTGCTGATATAAAATTACTTTCCTTTGGCAGTGGGAAGATGGGGTGTAGAGCTAATAAAAAACGTAATAGAAACATAATAACCTTCCAGGAGTATTGTTGCAAACTTGCTCGCACTGATTTATCTCGGGCTTAGTGCATTCATCAATATCTAAAACATAAACAGGATAATAAAATGATGGATACCTTAGTCATCTTTAAATAGGCTTTTTTGAGAATGGCCTTTTTATTGCTAACCGATGTTCATATAGATACCCGATTTCGTGAATTACTTTACATCAATAATCAAAGTTTTTACGAGACATCATAAAAATTCGAACTGCAAAATAACAAGGATTCTGTCTCTGGACCGAAAGGCAAATGATCTCTTTAATTTATCTTTTTGAAACTTTTTGGCGTAGTTTCCAAAATAAATCAATCCCTTTTTTCCGAATTAACGAAAGGCGAAAAAATTGCGGCTTGTAAAGTTATCACGTACTTCGGAAGGGCACAATCATAGCGTTCCAGTTCTAAACTAAAAAATATCGCGCCGATAACTAATAGTAGAAAATTGCTGAGACCTGAAACCTGAACGGACTGATTGATTACCTTTTTTTTATCTTATACTGTCGCTTTGAAAAGGGGAATGATTTATGAAAACAATGACGACATAAATTTCTTTATGTCTAAACACCGGCCTCACCGATACAGTCCTTCCACTGCGAGGAATAACCGTCAGGGCACTGGCATGAGTAGTTACCGGGAGTGTTGTGGCATTTCGCGAGACTGTCACACTGGTGTATCTCATCAAAACACTCGTCTATGGAAAGCATAGAGAGAAAGTAAGGACCAGAGAAAAAGGAGAGAGAGAGTTGGAAACCATGTTTCACTTTGAGCAGTCAAAATTTGATACAATTCCTCGACGCTCGCAACGAAAAAAACAAAACAAAATAAAAACAAACAAAAAAATATAGGACAATAGAAGACAAGCCGAACAACAACAAGGTTAGGACGCGTGTCATATGAACTTCGTAATAGACCTCGCTCACCGAGGAGTCTCTGTGGCTCGGTGGTAGAGCATCGGAGCGCGGAATCCGAAGGTCTGAGGTTCGATTCCTCTGGGGACTCTTTTCTTTGTCCCACGCTCGTGACAAGACGAATAAACATCTTTCTCAAAAAGGTTAGAGACAAAAAAAGCCCCCCCACCCAAAAGAGACAGTTTGCATTTTGTGCAATAATAAAATAACCCGGTAGAAAGAACAATAAGCAAGGGAAAAAAAATGAGATACGCACCAATGTCAATGCAGATAACATCAGTTCCATTTGAACCTGAGTTCACAAAACCCTCAAAACAGGAACATGAGTGGTCTCCTTGAGTATTAATGCACTTCTGCGAGCAGTTTCCGTTGTTAGCTTGACATTCATTTATATCATGACAGGTCAGTCCATCAGCATCTAGGTGGAAGCCCGCAGCACAAGAACAGCGGAATGATCCCACAGAATTAGCGCATGCGTAGTCACATTCTCCTTTGCCATTGTTTCTGGCGCACTCATCGATGTCTTCACAGTTAAGTGACCTAAACGGCAGTTGAATTTTTTAAATTCACCTGGGGTTGACTACTAGAGTTTTCATAGCGTTTATGACTGTCCACTCACTAAAACACTCGAAAATGCATGCGTCACTTCTGTGACCTACTCGTCAGACTGCGCACGCCCTCTGTGAAAAAATTTGCCCACCACGCGCTTGTTCGTCCTGGTCGAAATCAAAATATTCTCGGCCTTTGATATGGCCTACTTGTCCGAGTCTTGCGTGGCGATCATTAGAAAGAACCAGTGTTCCCAGAATGGATATTCTTCTTCGAAGGGTTATCAACGAAAGGGTAAATAACGCGATATTAAGCTCCAAACAAGCGATTAAACAAGTCAACAACATACAAAAGCATATCCATTTGCCCGTCCGCCATATTTGTTTTGAATTTGAGACGGGAAGCTTGAAAAGAGGTTGCACGACGCAATGACGTAATCCAGCGTCATTGTTTTCGAAAGGCTCCGTTTTCCACCGCTCACACAAAACCGTTATGCCTGCATTTTCAACTTTCTCCACTTTTGAGAGTGTTTTCGAATCGATTCGTTTTCATTTAAAAGCGCATCCGTTTCCAAGCATTTAATATTAATGAGGACGGAAGGCCAAAACGCACCGAATAGAATCCGTTTTCAGACGAAAACGCATTAGTGTGAATGGGGTCTTAGACTCAGCATGTTGCTACACCGATTTATCATATCTGCGTGTTTCATAGTCGAGATGATAAAAGCAGCCGAGCACCTCATATTATTGCAGATCAAACAATGCCCAATGAGGTGCAAAAGGAAAATAAAGTTCATATACTTACTCGGGGTCGGTGGCATTATATCCTTCGCTGCATTCACACATGTAAGATCCATCCATGTTGACGCAGTTCTGAGAGCAGCCGCCATTGTTCACCGCACATTCATCGATATCCGCGCAACGAGTTTCATTGTCAGCGGTAATGTAACCTTCATCACACTCGCAACGGAAACTAGTAATGATCGAATAAAAAAATAAATAAATAAATGGCACAATTACTTGAAAAGATTGAAGAAGGAAAGCAAAGGCCAACGAGGCCTAGCAAAGGCCAACGAGGGCGAGAGCCGTTCACAAAACTCAGCAACTTGTGATACAAGGTCTGGGAGTGTATATAAAGCTCCAGCAAAAGCAATGCTGGGCGAGTGCTCTCACCACTCTACCAACAACAGGTCAATAAATCTAGTAGTGAATTACATTGAAATATATAAAATGACGACTTCGATTAAACTAAGGCCAGCTTTCACAACAAATGTTGCAACCAGCCTAAGGACGGACGGTAGAAATTGCCACTGTACATTTCAATGAGCTCTTCCGTTTTGTCTTGGTTTAAGCCTTCTTTGAATGAAGTATGAGGACCTGCAGAGGTCTGGAGGAACGATAACAATATCTTACAATTCTTCGGCTCGTTACCTTCCTTCAGAATTCATGCACTTGTGACAGTCTGGCCGGCCCTCTGAACACTCATCAGTGTCCACGCACTTGTGAGGAAGTCGGTGGTCACGATGGTAACCAGTGTAACAATCACAATGGAAACTACCCGGGGTATTAACACACTGTTGCTCACACTTTGTTCCTCCCATCAAGCATTCGTCTTCATCTGAAAACGAAATTCATTCATTCGATGACCCTCCACACAGAAGAAAAAGCTGGATATTCATAGAAATTGAAATAAGTTCCCAGGGACGAATTTAGCCTCAGAATTTCCAACTTCGAGTCGTACTTTGAGCGATTTGAAATCCGAAGGTAATCTTGTTAAAACGTTAAAGTCCGTAATCCGTTGACCCTTTCGGGCCGATCTTTAATTATCGCCGGGGAGGGGAGGGGAGGGGGCATGTAGTTGTGTCACCATGAAATTTACTGATCTCCCCACCCTCAATGCTCTGTAATACTCTTCTGACCCCTCCCTCGCTGGCAGTTAATTGGCGGTCAATTTTCTATAGTTCCCCCTTGACATTCTTTCGGCGACGACTGATTCCCCACCATTTCCCCAGTAAACCCCCATGAGATCTCCCCTAAAATTTTTTGCACCTTAAAATCTTTTATACCCCAAAATCTTTTCCCACCCTACCCCAGGAGATAAATAAGCAATGTTCCCTTACCCCTGCAAATTCTTCCATTAGCACTGAGTATGAATCCTTTGTTACACTTGCAGTAGTAGCTTCCTGGTGTATTTACGCACGTGTGTTGGCAGTGATGAAAACTCTTAGGTAACTTGCACTCGTCCAAATCTGAAAGACAACAGAACCATTAAAAAGGCTAAATCTGAACAGAATACACAAAGGTTTGACAAAGAAGCAAAATATGAATTGTTGAGAAACAAAAAGAACGACAAGAAGTTTAAATGTAAGATGTATGGCAACAAAATATTCTAATAACATTTTCAATGAATCATTATGTTGATAAAAATGTTACTTTAATTAAACGTCAAACGCACATAGTCTTAAAGTTTTTATAATTGTGAAGAGAATTACCACAGTTTAGGAAATGGACATATTTTGTCGGAGTGAAAAGTTGAAAAGGAAAGGGGAGAGTGGGGCCACTGAGGATTTAGTGGCCGCTAACTTTTCATCCCGAGATTTCCCTCAAACACTCGGCAACCTGGCATCGCAAGGCTGGATTTAGAGCTGCTTCTAAATGTTTTACCTTGACATGTGAATCCGTCGAGTCCTACTTTGTAGCCCTTGTGACATTCGCAATAATAACCCTGTTCAGTGTCGCGGCACAATTGTTCGCAGTTGTTATTTCCTGTGGCGCATTCGTTCTCATCTAAAGGGACAAAATATAATTTATTTCACACTTCACAGAAAATAAACCCATCGATAGTTTTGCCATCTCACCACAGATATTTGATCAAATAAGGAAATCACTTTAATATGTTTTATACCAGATACATTGATCCTCTCTACATATCACTGCTGCCAAAACAGTCCTCAAGGTTTGCAGATGAATGAGTCATTCAACCAATTCTGACTACACTATCACGAAACATTCAATGTGAAATAGTTTATTGAGGAATGGTCAGTCAGTCATCCGACAACAACAATGTGCCGTAACATATACTTATTACATATACTTATTACAACATAGAATATGCTAGCAAGTCTAACTTGAAAAGCTTGAAAAATTAAGTGTACCACGCCAGATACGAAAAACCACTAAAAAACCACTCTTTAGATGTGGCCAAAAAATATGTGGAAACGTATTCCCCATCTAATGCAGTGGCACGGACCCTCGGGGAAGAGGTACAAACAAACCCGTAACTCCATAGAAAAAATTTAACTAAATTGACAACAGCAAACAGAAAGACTGACTGAGCTAGAATGATTAATATTCCCCGCTAAAACATTAAATACTCAAAACTCTCCCCTGAGAATACTAAAACCTCTCAATCGTGCCATCAGAATAGTAATTTCTGACTAATTCGTTCCTAGTCACTCAACCGTCAGAAACTACATTTTTTGTCTGAGTATTTTTCGTCACTTTAAATTTTACGAAAAATGTACTTGTTATTCGAAAAATTATCTAAACAACAGGATATTTTTGTGCCACAGCATAGAGCGTAAAATGTTTATAGCTCCTCGTAGTGACGTAGGTGTGTTTTCGTTATGTTATTTTACAGTTGTACTGTTTACATAAGCTACGTGTTAGGGCGATAATTTGTGTAGTGGGGTTCATGTGTCCTGCTCGTGGGAACAACACGTGTTTTGAAGTTCGGAATAATAGGTTGGTCTTTTGTGAACACAGGAATGGAGTTAACTTCACATTGAGGACCTTTTATTATGACCCCCATCTCTCATTTATGGTTAATTGGCATCCACTTTCTACTCTGCGTGCGACGACTGACACCCCCCTCCCCCCCAGGTTCTCCCTTATGACCATGTTATCCCTTCCCTCCAAATTCTTTACCCCTTTCCCCCCCACTTTCGGCGCGATTAATGGTAACTGGTTCTTAACTACAATATATCACACTTACTTATACAAGTCTTGTTGTCTGAATCGATTACGTAACCATCATTACATTTGCAGTGAAAGCTACCAGGAGTATTTAGGCAAAGATGGTCGCAGCCACCGTTGTTGATTATGCAATCATCATAGTCTGTTGAGCAGCGGGAAAAAATGTTCAATACGAATAAATACCCAAAGCATAGTCATACAAACAAACAAAAATGAAATAAACTGATGGAAACAAGTTAAGTACGATTTCACTGTTGACTGGACAGTCTAGTTTCTTTAAATTAAGTTTCTTCTTAAAAGTTTCTTCTTAAAAGAAAGAACTTTGCCTCCCAAAAGTCTAAGATGATTCATTAGGATCCCTTTTCCTTTGCGGCTCTCAAAATATTCAGCCAAAATGGCATGATTACAGTCTGTCTTTCATTACATGAGACCATAAAACAGAAATGATTGTATTTACAAACTTTCTGTGCCATGCTCTACTTTTTTACTACACTCTCCTTTCAATTTTTTAATCTTTCTATTGTAATTCACTTCTTTGAACCGTCAAGCAGTACCTTGCCTAGCAAGAAGACATATGCAGATAGAGTCTTACATCTACCACAATAGAGTCTGATCTGGTGTAAAAGGTCAAGAAAGTATATTGTAAAGGAGTATACGTTGCTTAAGTCTTATACATCTGTACCTCTGCACGTGACCCCGTCCCTATCCAGTGTGAAACCTGGTTTACATGAGCAAACCCGTCCATCGGACGTCTGAGAACATTCATCAGAGCACCCTCCATTGTTTACAAGACAAGGATTAGCGACAGCTGCTTGGAAAAAATTCATACAAAATGCACATTTAGCATTTAAAATTTTGCTGAAACATATCAAACTTTCAATAAAAAAAAGGACACAGGTCATCAAAAAGACCCTCGTTTATAAATTTCAAATTTACTCCTTCAACCCCTTAAAGTGATTGGCATCTTAATTCTCCTCGCGATATCACCCCTGGATCACACATAAAGAACACAGGACTAAAAGAAATGATGATCAAGTACAACCAAAGAAGCTCTTAGTTGTTAAACAAATTCTCCTCGTCAACACGTTAGAAAATGTATAGAGAACAGTATGGAGAATATTCGTACTGATGTTAGGGCCTGTAAATTTAAGGAGTACACACTGCTCCTTGGCTTTGTACATGGACCTGAGACTTTCTCATTAATTTTCCTGAAGTATGTTAAACCTGGAATGGTTTGAAACCCATAGAGTGTCTGCAAAGTTTCAGCTTTACATTTCTCGTCTTCCTAAAACACAGCTGATTCCCACAGCAGAGAGAAATCGATTGAACAGAAAAAAAAAAGGATCTATCGGTGTCGATTGAATAGTTTGTTTTCTCACTTGCTTGTTTCTCATGAATTTTTAGTAGGAGAGGGGTCTAAAACTGGTTGAATAGTGACAGGGTATTCTAAAGCATAGCTATCTTTCTGCAGGCTGAAAAAGTTTTTAATCGACTGTAAATCGTCTATTAATGAATTGTATGTTCTTTTCGCAAGAATACACTCACCTCTAGATTCGGTAGTATATGCAGCAGCAAAGCCGGAATACTGAAGGGAGTTATCCGTGACAAATATCACTAGGAGTTCATTAGTAGAAGAGCGGATTTGGTCTGGTATATCGTTACCACAATACTTTCCAAGCTTCGGAGAGTACGTCCCTGGACCGTCATAAACTTCAATATAGTCAAAAGCGCAACCTGTGTCGATGAAAATAGCTAAATTAACAAGAAGCAGAAACCGTCCTGTACTCAGAAAAAAATTTTAACTTTTCTGAAAACAGGCACCTATGTGCGAGTTTTGTATATAACACACACATTCGAGTTCGTTCTCTGTGCATATCGCGCAGTGCACAAATGAAATCGAAAGCAGTGAGCAGTTTGAATGCTATGTGCAATGCAGAAGCATTCTGAACACGAAAGAAAAATCAAAGTGCTCTGTGAGCAAACTCGTGAATTGACACATGATTTTGACACATGATGTTTAATGTTATCTGGTTTAGGAAATTTGGTGGTTGATTGTCATATCTAGAGTTCGAGCAGTAGTTCAGTATTCGCTAATGTAACAAAGAAACAAAGTAACGTTGGGATAAGAAGGCATTACAATTGAAATGATCATGCTATTACATTTGACAAGGTGGATGATGTCATGTGTTTTAAACGTCTATCATTTTTGTTTCTGGTTTAAAAGAAAAGGTTGGAAGTAAATGTGGGTGAAAAGTGAAATTTACTGTCTTTCATTGTAAATATTAGAAAATCAAGGCAATACTGTCTTAATAAAAACATTAACGATTCCCTCTTTATCAAATCAGACAAACTGGAACGAGTTTTGAGTGATATAACTAAGCCAAGCCTGCCACCGTCATTTTGGATCTCCGCCTGGGTAGATTTAAGTCACGTGCTAGGCAACGTATAATCAATAACAAGATAGAATTTCATTTCAGGCCTATTTATCAATTTTGTGGTGTGTAACTTTCGCATTTGAGTACGTTGTATGTATGTTGAATCTTCAAATTGTCTTGAAACTTAAAAGAAAATTGTTCTTTAAAAATTCACTGAAAATCGGTAGCTAAAATTGTTTGTTTAGGTGTTATCTGATTTTCGTGTTAACTTGTAATTTCGTCAGTCGCCGGCATCTTTTGTTGCTTCACACAGGAAAAACACACGCGACGAAACGTAATGATCAATTTTGTCCTCAATCTCACGCCATAACAGAAAAAGCTTTTGAACATCTGTAAACTCCGAGCGCTTCGCAGTAAGTAAAATTTTCAATGAATCTTCGGATTGTTTTCGAGTTCAAGGATTGTAAATTACAATTTTATGAAAAACGAAGGTTGTTCTGTTATTTCAGTGTGAATCCTTGCATGCCTGCCAGTCGCTGGCGCCGCTTGTTGAAACTAAAACGAAAAGAAAACTCTTTTAAGATTATCATTGGCTTCTTTTTCACCCCACCACTATTCTTAGCAACAAAGGTCGCCATTTCTTCTGTTTACTGTTCGCTAAAAACTATCAAATGCACTCAAAAGCCTAAAATCTAAAAAAAGTTTACAGGAATCGACCAATCGAGCGAGCGAGCGAGCGAATGCCATTCCCCACATGGTATCTATAACTCGCTCTTGCGCATGCGCGCAATTCACGAGTTAATTATGTAACCATTTTTTTAAAATTCTTTTTCACCTGTTGCCCAAACCCTTCTACAGAATGGTGCATATGTGTGCTGAGGTGTTTCTTCCTTTAATTCAGTGCGTTTTTTAAAGGTGGTTTGCATTATATTCGAGCAACAAAGCGCCGAACGAGAGGATGTTTCCTGCTTGAATTTCCTTTCATTTTCAGATTTCTTTTCCTGCTAATAGAGCTAACCGTTTCAAGATCATGGTAATAGCTTATTGCGGTTGCCACGAAGGCGAAAAACTTTCTGAACTTCTGCTTTTTCGACAAACTCATTGACATGAAATCGTTGACGCCTACCTGCATCACGTTCTAAGTCAAAGTGCGTAAAACGCAATGACACAAGTTTTTCCTTCGGGACACAGATGAGGTAGGAACAATTCAACGATGCCGGATGGCTATCGGGATGGTTCGGGGATCTGAACAAACCATTCTCTCCAGAGAACGTCTGACTACAATCTTGAAGATAAAAACAAAAACAAGTTTTACAAAAATGTTTATGAATCGCGTCAATTACTGAGCCTCTCTTATTTCAACCAGAAGGGAATGTTCCAATTTTGGTGAGAAAACAAGCATTGCATTCAGGGATCTATATGAACAGCATAGTCAGCGCATCTTTAAAAAAAGCGTAAACAATTTTGGTGTACTGTTTAAATCTGACTTAATCTTCCTCATGGCTTTGTCGAGACCACAAAACCATAATTAGGAAAAGTAAAGACGTCTTCCAAAATACCTAGTACTCTTAAAAGCGGCGAGTGCGTTCACCATGTGGTCAATGCGCGGCTAGGTCAATGCGTTGTGATCTTTGGCAAAGGTTTTTACTCACACAGTGCCTCTCGCCACTCAGGGGAATCAATAGACATAGTCAGGGAAACGAATAAAGGGGGTAAGTTTCTAAGGAAACTGTGGCGCTGCGTCGGTGGGAGAGTATAACAGGGTAATTTAGTGTTAACAACTGAGTTGATAATGTAAATTGCCCACCATAAAGAGTTTAAAAGCTGACGTTTCGAGCGTTATCCCTTCGTCAATCGCTCTGACGAAGGGCTAACGCTCGAATAGTCAGGGAAACCCGACGAAATGCCGAAACGTGACCCTAAGCCATGGCTTGGAACCCCATCTTGGTGGTAGAGGCAAGACTTCTGGAAGCTCAATGCAACTGAAGGCGGAATGAACTCCAAACGAGGAAAGGTTTCATGAAGAAAATTAGTGTCTGGGTAAGACATTGAGATCTAAGTATATCTTATTGACATAATTTATGTAATTTGGATATAACTGATTTTTACGTATATAAGTCCAGCTCATTCCATATAGCCTGGAGTCGCAAAGATAACCTGACTGATTGACTGACTAGGGGATTGATTGATAGAGGTGAAAGAGAGTGGGTTGATACCATAACCCGAAACCGTACCTGCCTTTTTTACATAGCGTAATTTAAAACCCTTGAATTCGCTTGAGGAATCTGAATGAAATCTCAGAAAGAGCTGAGGACCGGAGGACTCAACCGTATCAGGTGTCTCGTCTCCACACAGCTTGCCCAGTCTGTTGGCGGTGTCTGACTCGCCGTCATAAATTTCCAGATAATCGAAAATGCAGTCTTGACTTGTTTCAAGCTGCAATAAAAAAGAAGGAAAACTTCCCTATTGGATATTTTTACTGTGCTTTGTTACTATCGCGAACATCTTGTCCGACACCCTTACTAAAAAACAGCTTTGATCACGGCCACCATAGTAATAATATATTTATCATTGCGTATAACTCTGTAGTCAGACATTCCCTTCAAAACAACGGGTACTTTTAAATTTTAATACGTTTTCCGTTTCGATACTCATTTGCGCTTATTCCTCTTGCCCATAAGAAAAACACGTAAAATTTCTCAGCTCGTAAACGTCCCTCTTCCAAAAAACTGCAGTTTCAAATTTTCGTGAAAGGAAAAACGTCATGGAAAAACTTGACAACGACTGATAATTAGATAACTTTAACAATACACTTTCCAACATAATTGTAATGCATTGGAAGGAAATACTTCTACAGAAAGTTTTCTTTCTCAAGTACACTTCTCAGGGGGAAATGGTTGATGTGTATGCGACTTTGAACACGAGTTTCAATTTCGGAAACACTCTTTGGATAAATTTCAACCTACAAGTCTACATGAGGTTGGTCATAACAGGCTTCAAACAAACAACGCAATCCTGAGTTGTTTCAAGAAAGAGGCAAGAAAAGGCAGGTTATTAAAATAACTGGGACGTAGGGACATAGATCAAGAATGTCGCTATTACCTGTTTACACCTTACAAACAATACACGAACCTTAAAGTACATCCATGCAGCCAGAGAACATTTATGTAAATATCGACCTCTGATTGGCTAATCAAACTCCGAATATCCTTTGCCATTCACCTTCGAACAACTTGCGCCCAAAAATATTGTAATCGTTGCAGGAATAAGAGAGCTAAAATCATATTACCCTCATATTCATAGCGCTATTTTATGACACTGTTTTAGTTTTATACTAAAACGACTATTGATGTCAATGTCTGGTTAGCGGTGGTAATCATTCCTTTTGCTTCACGGCTCACCACTACCCACCTCTTCTTCAGTAAAGAGTTGTTAACAATTATTTTGTTTTTAATCAGTGCAGAGACATGAGATGCTAACATTTAGTATCCATTTCCATAGATACTAAGGGATCCTGATAAGATTAAGATCTTGATAAGAAATCAGCCGATACGACCAAGCGACCTATTTTGTTCAAATCTGTATAATTTTGGCCACTGTTTTCATCAATTCCATATGTGCAGATAAGTATAAGCGGAAACTACTATTATTCCTTCTTGAGTTTCTGGCTTCTGGGCAAGAAACTTAGCAGGGAAATAAAAGTTTGAGACCGTTTTGCAACATGAGTAAAAAAAAAAAAAAAGTTAACTGCATTTAAAGTTGAGAACTGCCTTGGGCTGTTTCGATTTGGTCTCGTTCACTAACGATAGTTTAGTGTTATTAATGATGGAAGAATTTGGTGTGTGACATGATGTAGCGGTTGCTGTTTCCACGCGCTATAAACAATTTGTAAAGCGGAGCGCCGCAGCATCATTTGCACGTCTCACTGTACCTTAAACTCCTCAAAATTCAGCGTTATGCTTGAACCGCTAACCACAATTTTCCATTGACAATCGGTTCTTCGTGGGTAGTGGAGGGGAAAGTTGGGAGTTTGGATCTCTCCAGAGTCAGCTCTCAGAGTACCACCACAGTGAACTTGTGGTGAAAAAAAAAAAAAAAAAAAAAAAAAAAGGAAATGGAAGAGCATTTTAGTCTTAATAAAACAACCTGGGAAATAATATTCGTAAAGCAACATAATTTATCTAATTTATCAGCATTAGAATACAAAGGTGTCAACCCGTGTTATTTTCTTAATTGAGTTAATTCCTTTGGGGAGGGGGGGGGAGAGGATGTCATTCAAACTTGTTGCTCGGTCTTACAGCGACTTAAGACTCAGACAAAAATTTGGTAAACAATCACCTTGCTTTTCCATTTCTTGAAAGGGCGAAATGAACTACCTAAAAGATGCGAACTGATGGGCGAATTTATAAAATGGTGACGCATCCTTGGTGCAGTTCAAGAGCTGGACGACGCTTTCGCGTCACGAATCACTCACCATGCGGTGAAGGGGGTAGTTTGTTTTCTGAACAATTCAGTATCATCTGCATAACGTTGGAAAACCGAGTAAGGCTTTCCTTAGGTCTTGTGGCCTTAGGAGGTAGAAGACGTGTGCTGCTTGCGGACAGTCTTCCCTTTGAGTTCGAAGGGAACTCTGCCGAAGCGGTTTTTGACGTGACACCTTTCAGCATTTCCGCCATGGAATCGAAAATCCCGTTGCACTAATGCAAATTCCGCAATGAGTACAACTGAACATTAAAATCATTCGCCGTTTAGCTTAGATATATGACAAACAAGGATGGAAGGAAAATGAGCTTTAACCCATTTGCCATGACTAAGATTTATTTCGATTTTAGTTCTTGTTTCTTTAAACCCAGTAAATGAGAACTGGAACTAATTTCAAATATTTCCCTTTCACTTCACTGCTTCAATCACTCCGAGTAAGAAATAAATGTGTGATATCTCAGTAATTCGCAAACTCAGACTTACCTAGAGATCTCTTACGAAGGGGAAGGAAAATATCTGCCAGGCTGGAAGGGAGACGAAACGCTGCAGAAACCAAAATCAAATTCAAGAAAAACCTGCGAGTAACACAAAAAAAAGATTACCTAAACGAGTCAACAGCCACTAACAAATCAGTTAACGTTTGTGTAAAAAGATTTTCACTGGTGACTTACAAACAATATGGCGAAGCACCCATGTTTCTCCCTTCAAACTGCACACCAACGAGTTAAGTGCTCGGCGCGTTGTTATTTTTGACGCAGTGATTAAAGGCGATGTAAGCTAATACCTCAATACCCAGCTTCAGTTACTTTTGGAACAGATCCATATGATCTGTCCTTATTCTTGCCGTGACTGTTGTTTGGCATTGCGCAGATTTCGCTGCATCCTTTCAATTTTAATCACAAGATTTACTGTCACGTCTCACATATCGATACGAGAGATCTTTTATATAGATTAAAAAACTAAACCATGCGGTAATTGGGATATCACAAGTTATTTTTACATGATTGGAAATCCTGGGGGAGTTTATTGATTAAGACTGTTTTGTTTCAAATATCATTTGACAGTGCGCCAAGGAATCTGACACCATTCTCCAAAAGCGTATTAGAGTCTCGATATTTCGAGTTTGATGATCGTTTTTCCCTAAACCTTTTCCCGCTTTCTTCTATAACCTTTTGTCTCCAAAAAGACCCAGATATGAGAGGTAATCAAGGGATTTACGTTTTCAGTTTTTGGTAAGGCATTTTTTCCTGTAAGTTAATGACACGTTCTCTAACCCTATGATACGTGTAATGAAAACCATTACACAACATCTGCCAAAACTTCACGGTGTAAATGGTTATTCTTCGTAGTTGGACTGAGTTACAAGTCTAAAATTGTTTTTATTCTTCTATTCGATCTCACAGGCTTCATTTATCAATCGTGGTGTTCTGTTTGGGAAGACAAGGGCAAAGCTCTCGTCCGTGTAAGTGGTATCCGACAGTAGCGTAAGTTATGAGCGCTTGGATCATGTTCAAATCTGAACAAAAGTCGTTCTGTTTTATCTTTGAATAGAACCTTCTTCAATTATCAGTAGCAATGATAAAAACCGTCGATATGTCTCTTCAGACCGACGGATTAAAAAAAAATTGGTGTGTTGAACTTTATCAAAAACTCAAACATTGCGTGTAAACTCCACGGGAAGCATTGAAGACCAAACGGAAATATCTCACTCGAAATTCTGCCTATGGAGGGAATATTTCATTGATGCGGGAATTTCGCCTATCCATTTTTTTCATAATACATTGTATGGTGCTACTACTTTAGTTTTGTGCTTCACCTCCAAAACTACTTAAGGCGCATATCAATAATCCACGGCATAATCAAAAGAGGAAGTCGGGGGCGAATTCCGGTTTGTTTGCGTAATTGTTGGCCATTCCTATTTGTTCGCGTAATTTCCGTTGGGAAATCAAGCAATACGAACGCATCAGCACGGACGTGCTCGGTGATTGCAAGAAATTTCTTACGAAGGAAGGAAGACAATCATTTCATGTTGTAACAGTTAAATTGAATGTAACGCCGCGATACGATCCAAGACCGTCAACACTTATTAGGCAGCATCTGAGAGATAGAGCACAGATGGGGAACCCTGATAAAGATATTTTTTGAATGATGTCATACCAGTATGCCGTGCGACATTAATATCGATACGCACAACTCTGTGCCAAGAAAAATTGCTACCCTTCTGTAACGAACGATATTGTAGAAACATTGTCTAGACCGCTCATGAGTCGTTAAGAACGGAGAACAGAGGAAGCTTTCGACGTGAAATTATTAGAATTGCTAATCACGCATGGAACTTTCAAGAAAATACCTAAAGAGAAAAAGACGAAAGCCTCAAAGTAGCACGAAATGTTATATTTACGAAGCTACGGCATAGTTCATCGTTTTGAAATCTTTGGTCAATCCGTTTCGATCCTCCCATCCTCAGTCATCCTTGTTATTGTCCTTTTTGTTGTTGTTGTAGTTTTTACCTTGCCTAACTAATATTGAGTAGATCTTCTTCGTGACAAAATAAGTTTTTGACGTCGCGAATGAGTAAAATTATGGTTCAACCCTTTGACCCTTAAGTGTGACTAGCATGAAATTTCTGCCTATAGTATCATCCAGAACCACACATTAAGGTCATGAGAATAAAAGAAATTATCGCTAACTAAAGAAGCTCTTGATTGTTAAACAAATTCTCCTTGTCAGCACCTTAGGAAATGTATAGAGAACAGTGTGGAGAATATGCATACTGATGTTAGGGTGTAAAGGGTTAAGATATCTTGTTGAATTGTACTCTGTTCCGCGCACGGTTTGAATGTCGTCGGGCTGTCGTTTTTACAGCCGAGGGCGATGAAATTGGGATGAAACTTTTCTCGCCATTTGCCTCTCAAAGGAAAAGTACCAAAGAAGGAGACCGCGAGTGCAGATACTCTCCATGCATCAGTTAAAGGAGTTGAGCGACTCCACTTAGCACTGAGGCATTTTCTGTTTTGAAGACAGTAAAATTAGGATTGCCGTGTTACTCAAATGCACATATACAACATGCACAGTACCCAGTGTTTTTAATGGCTTGCTTTTGATTTTTCCATTAAATTCATGCCTTGTATGCTTGACGGCGCCAGTTGAGTCTAGTCGTGGAGCTTGCTGAGAGGTCAATTTGAGCTGTGTTGAATTAGGGAAGCAATTTGAAAAAATGGAACTAAGGTCTTAATAGGAACGTGTTTGGATGAGTAATGTAAAAAAAACGGATCTATCTCGCACAGCGAGCTTTCCCATAAAAGGTTTGCCCCAGATTTTGGAATTACTGATTGAAAATAAACCAAAAGTAATGACAATCCTTAAATTTGGCCTGGCGACACGATTTTCGGTGTTTTCCCTGTCTGTATCTCGTAGCTTTTAAAGTTCGCAATTACACAGTTTATCACAAATTTATTGTTAAATTTCTAGCTTGCGGAAGAAACTACAATGGAAGAGAGGGGAAAATCAAGTCCCCGAATTACCCCAATTATTACAGTCCAAGAGCCAACTGCCTCTACAAGATCACAGTTCCCACTGGAATGAGGGTCAGAGCCAAATTTAACAATTTTAGCGTTGAACCAGCCGGAGGAAATCCTAGTAAGTGTGTCCTATGAAACTAGACCTAAGCTGTCTATGATTCTGTCTTAGTGTAAAGATGATCAGTAGTAATTCAAGCTCACTTCAGCAATCATACTTAAAGTAATTTTTCAGTACTGTTACTACCACTCTAACAAGCTTGATATTAGAGGAAAGTTTTTGTTTCCCTCTTTCATGTGGTTTTTTGTGGTGGGAGAATGGGGTTAGGTTTGACTTAAGTTTGACCTAAGTTTGATCTAATCTATGGGAGCGCAACACATTGGGATACGTGAAGAGACAAAGACCTTGTTAATCAAAATATTTAAAATCGCAACTCCATTGTCGATTTCCTTGGGAAGATTAAATTATATCACACCAATCTCATTCAAGCTCATTTGCCAGCCCTCCAATAGCCTATCCAATGTATTCCTTGCATCAGGTAAAATTGTATTAAGAAGTTACTATTTTGTCTGTTTTGTGAAACAGCAACGTGCTACGATTATGTTGAAGTCCACGATGGCCCGACCATCCATAACAGTTCCCTTGGGAAGTATTGTGGAAAGCTGCAACCTTTCAGCGTGTTTTCTACCACCAATGTTATGCTTGTTCGATTTGTTTCCGATCGTTCTGTGAATAACAAGGGGTTTCAACTTAATTTTCAAGCTAAACGTGAGTATAACAGTTAAATACATGTAACACGTATTTCAGGCTGATCACGCTGATCGAAAAAATTTCAACCATACCATGCACTTGGTTAGTCAGTCAGTGTGTTAATGAATAAATAAGTCACTCAATCAGTCACTCAGTGGGTCAGTGAGTCAAACAGTCGGTGAGTGGATGAGTTAAGGAGTCAGTAAGGCAGTAAGCCAGTCAGTCTGTCGGCCAGTCAGTTGGTCAACAAGTCAGTCAGTTTATGAGTCTGTGAGTCAGTCTGAGTGGGTCAAAGAGTGAGTCAGCCGCTCAGTAGAGTCTGTTAGTCAATCAGTCAGCCTGTTCGTCTATGTGTCTGTCCATTTTCCTGTAAGTATTTTTTTCTTTCTGTCTGTTTTTGTCTGTTTTGGTTCTATCAACTGACTTGATTATGTAAATTGGCCACCGTAGAGAGTCTCTTAGGCTAAGTCTGCGAGTATTAGCCTGGTTAAGTGCTAATGTGTGAAACGAGAGGTCTTATGGCTCTCTATGTTGGTCAACTTAAAAAATGAGCTCAGTTAATGACAAATAGAACCAAATTATCTTGTTAAAGCCCCCACCGACAAAGCACCACAATTTCTTTAAAAACCTATCCTGTTATTCATCTGCCTGTCTATGTTTCCAAATTTTGCGCTGTCTTCACCTACTGCATAAGGAAGTTTTGAGAGGTTCAAAACCATGGTGCGTGTGGAGCACTGAATTGCGTTACACTTAAACAAGTTTCTTCTCTTAATAGCATTGTCAAAGAGCCACCAACGGACACCACTTCCCGTCACCACAAATGCAAAGACACTTCCCTCCACCCCAGTCCCTACGATAACTACTGCCACACCTTGCTTACTCAATCAATTTCAGTGCAGCGACGGCAGTTGCATAAGAAAGGCATGGCGATGTGATGGCTCGTTTGACTGTTTGGATAATTCCGATGAAGAGAAGTGTCCATGTAAATCATTCCAGATGACTTGTGCTAATGGAGCGTGCGTTAATAAGCTTTGGATTTGCGATGGGGCAGACGATTGCGGGGATAACTCAGACGAACAGAACTGCAACGTACCAACAGCTCCATCAGGTAAAGCATTGTGTTGTTTATGTCGTGATGTTTTTTCGTTTTTTTGCTGCTGTTTGTGTGTTCTTTTTTTGTTTTTTTTTGTTTTTCATGCTTGATGTGTTGATACCAGTTGCGACGGCTGATACATAATCGCAATAACAAAAGAAAACACCTGCACTAGCAAAAAAAAAAACAACAACAAAAACAAACTGCATAGTGGGAAGGGAATTCTAGAATACTGTAAAACCTGAACTAAATTTCAAGAACAGAACGAGTGATAAAAGAAAAACACGAAAATGAACTTAAAAGTCATCAAGGGATTGCAGCATAAAAAGAGCTGATCAAAACCTACAAACAAGACATATTAAATAACGATCAGTCCTGTCCTTCTGCCGTTACTGTACGTAGGCATAATTCCTCCCTGTTACTTTCAATGATATTCTCATGCATAAAATTTCAGATCGATTGAAAAAGTATGCGATTAAATTTCAGCATCCCTGAATTGTTCTCTAAACAATGGCGGTTGTGAACAGAAGTGCGAAGAGATTTACGTGGGTCAAAGGAAGAGTATATCCTGTAGTTGTAGGCGTGGATTTAACCTGCTTTCAGACCAAAAACACTGTGTTGGTAAGATCATGTCCTATTCTTGAAGGAACGGTTTGGACTGAAGTCATGTCCACTCTACATGTTGCCATGTATCTGTTCAGTAAGATCGCAGATGACGTCAAAATGTGGAAAGAAAATAAAAGTGGCACACGAGGCGCAGCCTCACTGATGTTCTTATCACATTATTACGTCTTCTGTGGTCTATTACTGTGCAGAACCACGCCAACGCGGAATCAGATCCATTTGTTATATTTGATGAAAACGTAAAATGTTGTTTATGGTGAAGTCAACTAAATGTTTGTCCCCTCAGAGTTCATAAGAAAGACTCAATAAAAAAACGCGAATTATTCAGCTTGTCAGATAGCTGAATATAACATCGGTGTAGGTTAGAGGAACATGGAGAATGTTTGTCGCAGTTCATTTGCAAACAACTGCGAATTAATCTACAAAAGAAAAAACCGCCATCTTTAATCAACGAATTCCTCACAGCTTTTCTCGAAAATGATTTAGCTCACCTTCCGACACCAACATGTAGCAACAACGACGCAATATGATATGGTTTTCTCAATCTATCAGAGATTAGTAGGAGTTTGACATATCGTATTAAGCTTATTGCTTCAATGTAGGTTTCTCTCAAATACAGGTTAATAACTGACTATATTGTTCTTGCCTTCAAAAGACATCGACGAATGCCAGACCAATAATGGAGGCTGCCGCCATTTATGTATGAATTACCCAGGAGGTCATACGTGTGCTTGCACCAAAGGTTACTTTCTTGATCGCGACAAGAAAAATTGTAGAGGTAAGAAATAAACTTATTCATTAAGTAATACACCTGTTTATTATTGTTATCATGACTTTCCCACCTTAAGTTTGCTAAAACAAAATGGTATATTTCTCCAGAAACAATTAGCATTTTGTTTTATAATTTTTGTGTAAGTGAAACATGTGCATCTTGGAGAAGATAAACATGAACTTAAGCAAACAAACGTCTCTCCCTTTTTATTTATGAAAATACAACAAAAGGTTATGGCATCATATTTTTTTAAAAATCAGCAACAGTAGAAGAAGAAATATAAAACCACCATCACAAAAATACAATACCTAAGCACCAGGAAAATCCAATAACATTGTGACAATCCGCTTTACAGAAATGCAAGAAACGCCTTTAATCATGTGGAAACTGGCTCTGGTTAAGAGATTAATCGGACCTCCCAGGCTTGATGGAAAGATAAAAAAGAAAACCAAAATTAAAAAACATAAAAACAAAAGATTAAGAGCTAAAGCTCTATTTTACCTCTCAAGCTTTTAATGAAAAAAAACATAGTAGCCATTTTCACTTCCAATCTTCTTTTCTTTTCTCAGACATAGATGAATGCTCTAATGGCAATGGAGGATGTAATCATGACTGTATAAACACCGCTGGAAGCTTTCATTGTAGATGTTATCCCGGATTCGAATTCAAGACCAGCGATAAGAAGATCTGCCAAGGTAGGATTTGCATATTCATGTCCCATTTCCTTTCCTCAAGCCTTTCGACCTTAGTCAAACGTTATCGTTGATAGGGAGGAAACATAAACGTCGCGATTCTTAATGTTCTAAGTTGAATAAAAAAAAACAAAAAACGAATCGTGGAGGAAGGTCTTAAAGTCGTGAAATGTTGCATAAACCTCTTTTTTTAAATGGAGAGCCTTTTGCAATTATGTAAATGCTCTTTCTGGTGTCGGCAACATCTATAATTACCAAAAAATTTTCAAGCAAGAGTGAGGCCAAGAAGGCCTATTTTTAGGCGCATAAATGGAATGATAATTATGCCTTCTATTAAGAAAGAGGTGTATGATGTAAGATCACTTGTTGAACCAGAGAGGGATAAAGAGTAAAAAAAAGAGTTGCTGTGTCTGAGGTTGTAGTCGCAAACACTGTCGCCTCAAGTCAATGCTGGATGCGATGTGAGGCGGCTGTATTCAAAGGCTAGGTTGACTACGATGAAATATAAATATACCTGTGTTAGCCTTAGCGACACTGTACAGTAACACTGTGACAAAAAGCTAAATGTGAATCCTGCGAGTTATCTACTCTTGGATCTATGATACTATCGTTTATTTTTACTTTTGTTTTTTTCCTTATTTACCAGATATTAATGAATGTGATGGCAATAATGGAGGCTGTAGTCATGACTGCGTCAACCAAGCTGGAAGCTTCTACTGTCAATGCCCACCTGGATACAAGCTTTTGAATGATTCCAAGACCTGTGTGGGTAAGAAGTACCTTCATCCGGAATGTTCGAGGATCTAACTTTGTTTGTCTATTGATCACGTTCCCCCCTTTTAATAACGTATTTGCTCTTGTTTGATTTTGCCAAACGTTTTTTTTTAATTATAATTTTTGTTTGAATACTAGGAGCTTCTCCCATGAAGCTCGATTATTTAACAGATACAGGCCCTATATGGTTTCAAAGCACAACTCAAACTGGAGCAGGGAGTTTTTCTCTAGAATGTACGAAAGAAAATTTCTTCCACAGTCCAGTCACTAGTAATCGTTGATTCTCATCTCCAGCTATTATCTGTTAGTTCTCTTCCGGCATCTGAAGTCAATCCAAGTCTTCATTTGCTTTTCTCTCGTTGATAAATTAGATTCTCGCCAAGGCAACGGTTTTCTTTTTTTTTTTTTTTTTTCCATCTTGTATTTTTCTCTTTTACTGCAGATGTGAATGAATGTGAGATAAGTAACGGTGGATGTGAGCATGATTGTCAGAACACTCTTGGCAGCTTTTTTTGTTCATGCCGTGATGGTTATATCGAGGATTTTGTGTATCCCTCCAAGTGTATGGATATTGATGAGTGTGCTATGGGAGTGCCAGCCTGTTTTGATTGTCACAATACACCTGGAAGGTAATGTTTCTGCAATTGGTGAAAGTGACTAGCGATTACTGAACTAAATAATTTCTTTCCGTATTGTAGTTTATATATTAATTTGCGATATTTAGATAGGCTGGTCCAGATCAGCTTCAAAGCTGGTTTGAATGGAGGCCTGTATGAACAAAGACAAATCCAGAACACAACACGTGTTGCTACATTTCGGGGCCTACGGTTTATCGTCTTTAACGGAGATGCAGATTTCATAGCAGAGGCAGCACCTTCTCCTCGGTTATTTTAAGACCCTTATGTTTGTCTGATCTGGGGCGTGAGACCTCGACCTCCCGCACGGCCGTCCGGCGCTCCACAACATGAGCTAACCAAGCGCAATTAGTTAGACCTTTCTTAATCGATTCCTTTCATTTACATCCTCGGAGTGTGGGCTCTCGAGCAGGTTTGAATCGAATTTCAGAGTTCCTACTCAAACCTCTGCTGATTAATCTTTTACTTCCTCTGTTACTTTAATTTGGAGGTGTGTACTATTCTTATCCAACTGCACAAAGTAGAGTACAAATAACGCGCGAATAGAGCACAAATATCCTGCGATATTGCACGGTTATTTGCACAGTTGGTTATTCTGTACTGTAAAAAAAAACCTGTTTAACCAGTCGGCTGTGCGCGCTACGGTTATCTATCCGCTTTGCTTTTCTAGCACAACTCGTCAAAATACTTGGTGATAATACACACCAAAACGTCTAAGATATATGTATTTCACCACAACGACTGCCTTTCTGTCGTAAACAAATCTTTGAGCATAAGGTTTAGGAAACGTTTTTAATCGTGTTGGTCCTCTTCTTTGTTGTATTTAGTTACGAATGTACATGTGATCCTGGCTTCGTAACAAACGCCAACAAAACACGGTGCGAAGACATCGATGAATGCGCCTCAAATGATGGCAGCTGTGGAGAGCACCCATGCGTCAATAGTTATGGAAGCTACTCATGCCAATGTAACTCTGGATATCAATTTAATCCTACGTAAGTTTATCTACCAATACTACTGTACTTAAATTTTAAGACGTAGTAACGATTTATTCGTCACATTTGAAGAATGGCTGCGTCATTGCCCTTTGTTGTTGCTTAAGAAACGTTACTCTCCCCACACCTTTCTTCACCAAGGAGTGTTAAAAAACACCCTTAAACTGTCGACGAATTGTTGACAGGTTGGTCTGCGATGAGACCAGTGACTCCTCATTCGTTAAGGGGACGGAGGGGGGGGGGGAGTGATAAGAGTAACAATACTTATGATCATTTCATTCTGTGGAGGCTCCGACAGTGAATGCATTACTTTGCACTTAAATAAATTGTGACTATTACAGAACCAAAAGCTGTGAAGACATCGACGAGTGCGCGAGTAATAGGGGTGGCTGCGAGCAAATCTGTAAGAACAGTCCGGGTTCGTACCGATGCGCCTGCAGAGATGGTTACAAGCTGAGGCAGAAGACCAGGTGTTTAGACATTGACGAGTGCGCAGAAGGTGCTCACCAGTGCCAACACAACTGCACTAATAGCGACGGAAGGTATTCTTTGTTTCCTCTTTTCGTCTAAAATCTCACCGCGTCCCGTTACGTGTCCAAGTCTGCGATGTAAACTGAGCCTACTTAGTTTGTATCAGGAAAAAAATAGGAATTCCTTCAGAACATGCCTTTTAAGGATGGGAAACCGTAGCATTAGATCGATACAAAACTAAAACAGTGATTCACGGATAGTTGCAATGTAGTGATATTCATATCCGCCTTAAGTTATAGTTTCTAACTGTTTTTCCCTCCTGTTCTTCGTTTTCCTTTTTCTTTGCTTTAGATTCCTTTTTTTTTTATTTTTTTTTAAATTTTTTTTTTAACATTTTAACCATTTTAATTCAATCACTCTTTATAGCTATACTTGCTCCTGTAAGAAGGGATACTTTCTTTCCAATAATGGCCACTCCTGCAGTAGAAAGAGGAATCCACAAGGTAAGAGGGAAAGATTGTTTTTCACAAAATCCCTGCAAAATCAAGTATAACCTCAGTTGCAGAGGTACATTGTAGGCGTCGGGCAACATTAAAAATTATCTATACCTGTCTTCTTTTAAAGAGTGCGGCGTTGCACCCCTTGTTGGCAGTTCATTGCCTGGGAGATGGCACTCAGAGGACCAGGCAACTTGGCCTTGGGCAGCTCTGCTCCACTTCAGCGTCTTTGGTGACATCGAAGGCTGTATGGCTACTCTCATAGATAAAGAATGGCTGATCACCTCAGCTCATTGCCTGTACCTAGAACATAAAGTTATTCCTAAAAAGTTTGTTAAGGTGGAACTTGGGGCGTTCTCCCGTGGTTCTTCGAGTCATGATCCGGTTTTGCACGATGTGTCACACATCGTCATCCACAAAGACTTTAACGCAGATCGAAAGGTACTCGCTGGAAACATCGCTCTGGTGCGCTTGACAAAACCGATTAATGTTACCGATGAGATAAGGCCCATCTGCATACCGACCAGGATGGAAGTGGAAAAACTCCTAAAACCTGGAGCCTCAAGCGATGGTGTGGTAATCGGTTGGGGTAAGACTCCTGAGCACCGAGTCCGCAGCACACTTCACCAGGCAGCAGTCATGGTTTCGCACAGATCACGATGCGAGCGATGGGCCAACAACATTGCTTTCGATGAAAACACCATGATCTGTGCAGGTTTTAAGGAGGTCGAGAAGACCGCTTGTGTCGGTGATAGCGGGTCCCCACTCATGTTCTCTGTTACTACCCGTGATCAGAGTTCAACGAAATGGGTGCTGGGTGGTGTGATGAGCTGGGGGCTTAATGTGCTTCCAAAAGGCTGCCACAAGGATTATCGCTACACAGCATACACAAGCGTGGAGCGCAATTTAAAGTGGATCAAGTTCAGGGGGAATCGTGGGAATACGAAATGAACGATAATCCTTTTACCATAATGTCAAATAATCACATAGCATATGTTTTGTTTCCGCTGAGTAACATTAGTAAGCCGCTTACGCTAAGATTTAAATTGAACACCTGTCACGGAAATGAAGCCAGAAATGAGGATATTGCAGGTGTGAACTACCTTCCCGTGTGAACGAAGGGTAAGGCTAGGTATCTTTGAACAGTATCGGTTAATCTTTGGTGTACAAACAGCCTACTTGGAGTCGCAGCCTTTGCAGTTTGTCGCACTTATTTTGTTTTGTATATTGTTAAACTTACATAGGGCCATAACTTTACTTCTGATTATCGTTCTCTGAAAAGTGAAAATCAATAGAGGAAATTATCTTTGGATTTTCTTGTTTGGCCTTTTTGGTTTTTTTTAATGGGCTGGGTATTACAGACTAAAAAGTAACATTAAGGAGAACAAACGAAAAACCGTCAACAAGGCGTTTTTGTTAGAGTAGCCTTCTTAAAATGTTAATTAAAGCTTAAGTCAGTCTTGAATGTATGTGTGATGGCAACGAACAGGGGATGGTTTCACGTGCATCAAGGACACAAAACGAAAGAAAACAGACTAAAAAAAAAGGCAGCAACACCATCGAAACAAAATTGCGCGTTAGTGACACAGTCAGCAAGTTTATGATAGATCCTACGAGCAAGAGTAACCGTGACTCCCTATAAGACGTATGATAGAGCTTGACATTAACCGCCTTAAAAATTAGGCCTTGCAACTGCACTTTGTAAGATACGATGGTATCCAAAATCTTTAATTAGGACACAGAGTCAAAATGGGTAAGGTGTCATACAACTTAAAAAGTTTAGAATTACAGCAGGCGATAAAGTCTACCGTCAGCTTTAAGTCAGATGTTTCCTTGTACATAGACTCTGTCACTAACTACAAGCCTCATCATCTATGCCTTGGTCTCTTTGCAGCCAATTTATTCTGTCTCCGTAAAGCATCCTTCCGTTTTTTCTTGTAGTCTTGAGTGAGATCTGATCTCACTGCTACCCAGTGTTCGCTGACTTCTTCCTGGCTCACTCTTCTCACAAAAATAGCTTCTTTATCTGAAAAGCAAATCAACGTTACATTCTTCATATCATAGGAACGCAAAGGTTGCAGCAATAGGCTTTGATAACCAGTATCGTGCTACAGTAAACGTCCTCTATATTTCTAACTGGTTCTTAGGTGAACTTTGACTAGAATGATAACTCCTCACCCTTTCCCCGTGATGTGTATTGTTAGTACATGTATATCTCACCATCGATGCGATTTGCCAAGATAGGATCATCTGGGTGAAAAAAGAACAGCTCATCAGGCGCCGATGAGATTTTACTGAGCGCAATACCATCTGAACCAACAGAATTATTCAATTCCGCGTTATCACCACTACCGTAGTCGTTGTCTTTATCATCGTTGTCGTCATCGTCGTCATCATCACTACTGTCATAAGGAAGCTTAGGTGTGGCCTGCCAGGGATTTGATTTTAGCATTTCAACTGCACCCTCGTGTGTGAGGTCTTCAGGAGTTGAATCAACGTCATCACCTTGTTCTCGTGCAAGAAATGTGAAAGGTGTTCCCTGTACGTAAAGTAATTTATGACCGGAAGTCAAACTTCGTCATGACTGGGTGAACATCAACGTATCAATTTCACTGAGAGGAACTTTTGTTGAGTGAATGAGGAATCTCAGCCATGTGTAAATGTCCGTGGCCAAATGACTAAATATTACCTTGAACCTTCGATAGGCAACAAACAAATTGACCGATTGCAAATGATATAGCAATATTTTGGGATGGCATGCCAATTTTATCCTCTGAAACCCTTCCTTTGATTCTCTCTCCCTTTGAATAATCTTGCGCTTTTCTTGCGAGCAAGCTCTCTTGCAGGGTGCGGCGGAGTGCAAGATGTGCTGTTGCTCTTTATAGATTATTTGAAACTTCGTTTTTCAACATTCCCTTAAAAAACGACCATGGGTGTGTTTTAAGAAAACCAATTTTTGACTACCATTTTCAGTACTCAGGAGGAACGTGGGTTTTGACATGTTGGTTTGCAACATAGCGCGCGACCTAAGTGCTAGGGCATTAGGGGTTACGGATAATCCTACGTGTACGTGGCACCATCCATTTATAATTGCATACTAAAAGGCAGTCAACACCAAGCTAATGAAATTATCAAAAACAAAAACAAATTAAACAGCAACTAAACTAAAACAACAACAACAGAAAAAAAGATCCCACCCAGCGAGTTAACAAAATGGCAGCCACAAAACGACAAGCCTGTACTTGACAAAACCTGAACAACCTTCATAGGCCTAAACCTCATGCAGATTATAAATGATTGCTGTGGCAGCTTAGATTAGATCGCAAACGATTTATCGCGGCCCTGTCACAATCCACCTTACCTCCTTTCCACCGAAGAGATTCGTCAGCAGAGAGGCATTGGCCTCGTAATACTTTTCGTGAGATACATCGGGTAATTCTGCCTCCTCTGATTGTTTTTCTTTAGCTACACTAGGTTTTACGTCCGGTTTTTCTCTCTCCTCTTCAACAATCTTTTCAAACTGTTTGTGATCTTCTCGAGTTGGGTCGTAATGCAGTAAGGCAGTGCTCCTGCGGAAAATACATCGTACATAGATAAGCTTTTTTTTTCCCCTTTTCTAGTTTGTTTTTAATAGTATTATAATTTTTTCGACCAAAAGTCACCAAGGACTTTTTTATCAGTGGCTTCTGCATCATGAACTGCAAAAACGTTTGTTCGTAATCCTAAAATTTCACAGGCATATTCTTTCGTAGAGTGTTCAAAATTAAAAAAAGCAATAAATAAATTTTCAAAGTTCAATGCTTCCCCTTTGCATTTGTGAAAACCGAAACTATGGCTATTCATAGTGGCTTATCGAACATTCATCCATTTGCTACTAACCTGAATTCTGGTACTTTTTCCTCAGTGTTGTGACCACTGTAACCTGCCTTGAAATCCGCCCCCAAAATATTTCCGAGAACTTTAAAAGCCATTTTCTTTTCTTCCTGAATACTTTTGCTTATATCGTCCTCGTTTTCCCTGGGGATGGCCCCTTCATAACCTTGAGACAGTGTCTTTCGTGCATCCCTTTTAGCAGTGATCTCAGAGCGATAACCACCATCATGATCGTCGTCGTCTTCTTCGCTCTCCAGAAAACGTGAATCAAGATCAAATCTTTTATCTCCTCCGTAAGTCCTTTGTAATTTGAAAAGCTAGGAAGTACAATTTAACAAAACTGATCTTAATTTTATAAAATCTAAGGATGCCACACGTACGCAGAGGCCATTGGCGGCGTCATCCTATTGACAAAACGAACTTAACTAATGTTAATATAAACAAAACTGGCAGGCCTTAACCCGCTAAACTCTAAGAGTGACTAGCATCTGATTTCTTCCTACAATATCACCCCTGAATCACACATTAATTAATGTCATTAGAATAGGAGAAATGATAACCAACGAAAGAAGCTTTTGATCGGTAAACAAATTCTCTTTGTCAGTATGAAAATCCTTATGAAATGTATAAAGAACAGTATGGAGAATATACATAAAAGTATTGGATTAGTAACTATTTTCTCCTAACATTATCACCCTTAAAAAAAAATAAGGTCATGAGAATAAAGGAAATGATCACCAACTAAAGAAGCTCTTGATTGTCAAACAAATTCTCTTTGCCAGTACAGTAGAAAATGTATAGAGAACAGTATGGAGAAAATATGTAATGATGTTAAGGTGAAAAAGCTTCATGATATCGCAGTTGAATAAAACAAAAGGAGAGTTAACCGACAACATTGTAATGCGCTCGGCAGATTGTACATCAGTTGGAGCTATTCTATTTCATGAGTGAACCGACAGCCAAATGCGGTTATTAGTGGAAAACAGAAACGAGCACAATTATATTAAAAAAAATTACCTCTTCGCCAGACTTTCCCTCAAAGTGGGGTTTAACAAGCTGATGATTTCCTTCTACGCTAAGATGACCTGCGAGATCATTATCATCTTCGCTGTCACTATCGAGTCCAAGCCACGAACTGGCCTTCGAACCAGAGATCTAATATACATGTACAAATACCACAGTTGGAAACAAATCAATAAAGATTCAATAATACTACCTCCATAAACAATAACATCTCATAAGCTGACGCCGAAATAATCAAGCCTTAAATGTATCTCTGGCACCGTTTATAGATTTGCACTGATAATATACAGCTGCGCGACTACCCCTGAAATCGTCTCCAGTTTTTTGTCGCGATTGCGTATCCAAGAAATCATCAAAAGTAAATCTAAAAACATACTTTCAAAAAAGTTTGTCCTAATCATCAATAAATCAAAGAATATCCGTTTTAACGAAGTGCAATCTTTAGTGCGGAAACAACCCTGGGGGGAGAAACGTGGAGCCTGAACATATTTGTGCCTTCCATGAGTGTAACAGATAGAAACAATACAGGGCATTTTTCAAACCAGAGACAAAATTTGTCCTCTAAATGATGGTGTATCCTCAGTGGAAGTTTCACTGTATACGACAAAAACGTGTGCGTCAAATCAAAAGCAGTCAATAGTAAGGTTGTGAAGCGCCAGTGCATCAGTAGTAAATCATGATACTGACTATGCTTTCTGTTAACAATCAAAGATAGCAAGCAAAAATGTTTGACTTGCTACGCGTGCATTTTCTTGAAAATGCCAATTTCCCGTAAATTAGCCACCGTTAAGAGTTTAAATGCAGACGTTTCGAGCGTTAGTCCTTCGTCAGGGCGATTGGACGAAGGGCTAACGCTCGAAACGTCAGCTTCTAAACTCTTTACAGTGGCCAAATTACGTCATCAACTCAGTTGATAGCACTAACATAACACTATATATACTCTCCCACCAACGCAGCACCTCAGTTTATTTAAAGACTTACCCCCTTTCCTGGAAAAAAACCCTGGGAAAGGCAAATGGTGTCTTAATTAGCTTGTACTTTTATGTGTACTCATGCGCACTTACCTGTGCTTATGTTGGCCCAAAGAAACATGTACATGTCACTCAGTAATCACTTACCTTGTCTCCCATAGAGTAAGCAGCTTTCTTAACTTCCTTGTCATCTGTTTCATTCTCATCGCTATCAGAAAACACAATGTGGTTTCCTCCAACATGGCTTTGTGGACCGCTGTCTAAGCCCTTCAGTGCATCATTGATCACGTTTTTCTGAGCTTGTGCAGTCTTTTTTCGCTCAAGTAAGGCATCTAGTCGCTTTTCATTTGAGTTTGTACGTTTTTGAGGACTGTCTGTTACCACTGGTTTCGTAGATCTCCTTGGGGTTCCTTTTGAATCACAATTGCCAGAGTTCTGACTAATCGACCTCGATTTTGAATTAATACTCAAAGAATTTAGATCTTTACTTGTGGGGCTAACACTTTCACTGTCAGTTGATTCAGTACCTGATGTGTAATCAGAGCTATCAAAGGATCTCATTTCAACAGCTTCTGCCCCGGTCCCATCAGGTGCATGTTTTTCTTCTCTTTCAACCTCTGATGAACATGTCCCATTATGTATTGAGGAATGTCGACTGCTATCGAGAATTCTATTCTTTCTTTCTGTTTTTTTAGAAGAAAAACCTTCCTCTCCACTTAATTGTGAAAGCATCTTTTGCTCCAGCTGGGGAACAGACCGTAAGCTTTCTTCAGAGTGACCGTTTTCGACAAACTTGCTTCCTTCCAAAGTATCATCAGTTACCTTTTTCGATGACTTTGTTTTGACACTTTTCCAAGTCATGTTTCCTTCTGAATATGAATCACTGGATTCCGTTCTTACATCCTCGGTGAGAGCTTGTTCTTCAAAAGAATCATTTGATAAGTTCCGCTCTTTAACTGTTACCACTGACTTTGATTCGTGTCTATCTTTTCCTTTCTCTGCCAATAAATTTCCTGAACTAACATTCAAAATTTCATCCTCTGACTGCAAGTTCCATGTTAATTCTGCTATCGTACTATCTCCTTCCTCAGGATTTAATTTTCTTCAAGCAATGTGTTGTTTTACTTGGATCGAACTTTGCAATCTTTTTCCTATCCCTACGCCTCAAATACATGACTGGTAAGACACGTCCAAATTTTCCAACCACCCAATTCTTCTTTCCTGGAAGAGGTGTACCAGGAACAGCCTTTGGAAGTGTTTCAGGAATGGAATTTTGAATTTCGGAGTCCCCCTCACGATGTGCTATCATTCCTTTTAGCGAATATTGTTTGGTTTCTTCATGCAAGGGTGATACAACATTAGCCTGGGCCTGCTGCTGTCTCTCTCTTTGTAGCCTTTAATTAAAAAAAATATATATACAGTGCACTTCTGAAAAGGGACACAATTTTTATTCACAACTGGATGGTAAACGTGCTTGAATAAAACACAAACGGCATTAATATCTCATTTACTGTCGGTATATCAGGCATGAAGAAGAAAATATTTTTCGGAATGTTTATAACCCACTCTGACTCAAAATAGAGCTATTACATGTGTGCCTCCCAACACCACTCACATTTTCTTATTCTGTGATTACGTACAGTACAACGTCATTTCACAGCCTCAAAAATTATACACCCATCTATAGGGTTAAAAATGCCTCGTTTATTAAAAATGTACTAACAAACCTTGTGAGAAAACTTTCTTTGGCAGGCTGAATCTTCAAACAGCAGCCCCTCCACTTTGAGTTTGACAGGAGTGAAACACCTTCATATGAAGCAAAAGGAGAGGGAGTAAGGGAAGAAATAAATTTAAACAACTTCTGTCGAACAATAATTGCTGGGTGGTATGCTCAGGGTTGGTACAGTTTTTGATTATTGTACTGGTTGCCAGATGATACAAGTAGACATACAATGCACAGTTAACATAGGGGTGAAAATACGTGTTCAGTTCATCGATTTAGGTTCATTCTCTACATGTATGAAATTTAAAATCTGTAAAGTTATCATTCAAAAAGAAAAAATTTCCAATAACACTTTTCTCTTTCTAAAACATGAGGAAATTAACGGGAGATTGTCTTTATTGCTCTTAACCTGTTAACTCCCAAGATCTCATCAGTAATTCTCCTTACTGTCTGCCATACAGTTCTTGTGATTTTAGTTTGGAGAATTTGGTATTAGATCAACTACAAGTTAAGATTTTTTCTTTATTCTCATCACTTATCTGCTTGATATTGTATTGATATTTCAAGAAGTTCTGTCTTAGTCACTCATAGGAGCTTAAGGGTTAAAGCCTTATCAATAAGTCAAAGTCAGTTTGAGAGAAGAAACAAACTGAGATACATGTGTATTAGAGTCTCTCTATTTCAACCTCAAGTTTTCTAAATATGGCTCAAGTAGCTATCCAACTATACACGATGCAAAGTATTGCTTGATTTCAACAAGAAATAGCTGATAGTAAATACAAAAGAAATTCTATACTCACATCTTCTGAAATCTTTCTCTGTTTGCAAAATGTCAATATATGCAAATGTTTTGGTTGTGCAACCTAAATCAATCAATAGAAGATGATATACTAAAAGATTTGGAAAACTTGTAAAATAATTACTCATAAACTTAAACTTTAAATACTAGATACTATGCATTAAGATTTGAAAATTGTTTTGAAAAATAAGTTTCTGGATTAAATAAAAAAAGACCACAAAACAATAAATTGACAACTGCACCAGTAAGTGGAGGTTGGGTGCCTGAAACATCCAGGAGCTTCCAGTATTGGCAGCCAGCTCCTAGATGGAGACTTCTCCCATGGCTGGCAAAGCCTGGCAACTCAGCCATGAGCCCCCACACAGGAAAGGGAAACAGGCACCTGTCACACTGAATAAACAATGGAAGAGGGAGGGAAGGGGTGGGGAAAACTGCCCAGCCCATGAGCTGCCTCTCCTCACAATGCTGCAAGTTCATGTTCAAAACAAATACAAGAACCCCTCAAATGAAGAGTACATGGAATTCTGATGCATGTGCATATGCAAAAAAGTGCTGACTACTAGAAAATGCTGATGCTCTTTATTGTTAACTCTGTGAAATTGCATTAAACTGCATTAAATAAATGTTGACAAAACAAAATATGAGTAAGGATATTCAAAGGGAAGATATTGGCAGGTTTTAAAGCTGAGCTCTGCACAGAAGGACAAACATGTACTGTGTGCTGATGTCATAACCAAATGTTTCTGCCTTGGTGGGTTAACAATTAATTTTCTTTTTACACACTAACATCAGTGTTCATATTCTAAATACTGTTCTCTATACATTTACTAAGGTGTTGACAAGGAGAGTTTGCTGAACAACTTAGCTCTTCTTTAGTTGGTGAGCATTCCTTTATTCTTGTGACCTTAACCCTTGTGATTCAGGGGTGATAATTGCAAAGGAGAAATTGGAAGCTACTCGCTCTTGGGGGTGAAACGGTTATGACAAGGTGAGACACATGCTGCAAGATCTCCCATAATTCAGCAATAGAAATACAAAAGATTCATTTACATACCATTTTCATCTGCTCTTTGTATAACTTCAACTGATGATACAGTACCAAAAGTATTGAAGCGATCTCTGAAATGTTGCATTAAAGGATAATTATAATATGTAGACGGCTTAGTGTGGCTAAGAATTTCATATACCAGTGTTTATAACATCTAGCACATGTTAGCCAATGAGAGAAGAATTTAAAACATTGAAATATTAGTGAACTAAAGGAGGTCCTTCATGGGAAGTCAAAGCACCATTTTAGCCCTTTAACTCTCAAAGGTGATTAACATGCATTTTCTTCCTATGTTATCCATTCATTATCCAGCAAACAACTCATGAGAATTTTCAAACTTACCAGCTAGCAATTGCTATCTTGATCTAACATCAAATTCTCTTCATCAATTTACTATGAAATGTGTAGCAGTTAAAGGGGAGAATTTAAAGTTTCAGATCTTGGAGTTAACGTTTAAACGTTAATTTTTAGGACACTGTATCCTCAAGCATTTAAGGAAAGGTTTAAAGTACAACATACCGTAAATCAACCTCTTTGATACCACTGTAGAGCCCTCCAACAAACAGACGTTTTGTTTCCATCTTTTTCCCAGGGACACGCTGAATTTTCACGGTGTTAACCTAGGTAATCAAAGGATAACTAAGTATTCCTCGTAAAAATGAACAGTTATTTACAGATAAGCGATCATAATCGATCCATGAGGTAAACCGTGTGCCAGGGAAAACATTACCACTGATATACCTCAAGGATTAAAAAATGGTGCAGATCATTGCTAAAAATGGAGAGATAAAAGTATTTTAAAGGAATTTCACGACCATTCTACCTCGTAAAAGTTCCTAACTTCAAAGAGGGCAACATCACAACAGAATCGAAGAAGTTAACCCACGTTTGTCCGCCATCTTTTTTTTTTTAATGAAATCGCGTAAAAGCTGGTAACCAGTGTTCAGCGCTCTCTCGGTTGAATTTCTTGGAGTTAGCTAGGGCTTGGGCTGGAGGTTGGACACAATGCTGCCGTCTGCGATACCAAGAACTTTTCGCGATCAATCACAGACTCAAAATAGAAGAGATTCGGTCAAAAATCACATGGATGTCGAAGTATGATCGCCACAGTCTATCGGCATACTTAAGCGAGTTGAAATGTGCAGAGTCGCGTAACAAAACTAATTTTAAAGCTTCCCTTCTCTCCAATTAACAAATCTGTTACATATCTCACAATGGCACGAATTTTCGGATATTTTCTCACTCTATAATCCTTTAAATAACTCAGTTTTCGAAGGTTGTGAAGTTCTACCTGTAACTAGACAATTAACGATATATACTCGGTCATGGAGAAGCAATGCTATTACTTATGTCCCGGCGACGTAGAGCTGTTACTTATTAACGTTCATTTTTGACTCCATACGCGCATACCCGCTTAGTTACGCACCAGTTGCATCCTTCTTACTTCATTTAAACGTTCATTACCTCATATTACAATAAGGCTCTAGATCTGTCAGACGTTGACGACATTAGAACCTGGAGAACAATACTTATATCCCTAAGCGACGTAGAGCTGTTACTTATTAACTTTCATTTTTGACTTCATACGCGCATACCCGCCTAGTTACGCACCAGTTGCATCCTTCTTACTTCATTTAAACGTTCATTACCTCATATTACAATAAGGCTCTATATCTGTAAGACGTTGACGACATTAGAACCTGGAGAACAATCTGTGTAAGGTGCAACATAGCAAGTCCTCTCCTATGCCCGCCATCCTGCTGCTTCTGGAAATTTCAACTTTTGTGATGCTTCTTTTTTCTATTTTTTCTCTTTTAAATATGTATAGCTTTGGTTATTTATATTTGTTAATGGTGGATTCAATGTGGTTAGCTAGCTAGGATGAGTATGAGTATCGTATTCTAGTTGGGGCGAAGCTAAATAAATAAAATAAGATAAATAACAAACTTCAAAGTTTTGACAGCAAAACGTCAAAGTTTTCTCGTCCAATCGTAGGGTTTTCATTCATTACTGCACGGCGAGTTATTATTCAAAGGACGAAAGAAAAGAAAAGAATGATGACTGATAGCAGAAATATTGAAGAGGTTCTGGCCGAAGTAGACCTTGATTCGCTAAAATATGTAGCTGATATTGGGGAGAACGGGTTTCGTTCCACAGCTAGTGTCAGTTATCTTACCGAAGAAGAACTCAGTCATTTGCCCGAGGGCCTAACAGACTTCATACTTTTTATCTTACAGATAAATTTTAAAATCGCTCTTGAAACGACTTTTAAACATGATTGTTTTTAAATTCCCTCACTTCTTCATGACCTTTTACTGACCAGTATAAAATTCACTGACCGATGTAACATTTTCTTGACCAAGGTAAAATTTCCTTAACCAGACCATGCAGCAAGTCACATCGTGTACAAGAAACCTAGGCAACCGGCGTTCCCGAAAACCAACATCAAGAGCATAACATTCCCAGGTAACGAAAACCAGTTTCATTTACAAACCGATTTGAACTTGCATTCCAAAGGGAGCTAATGTTCAAATGTTTGTACCAGCGCAATCATCCGTTAAAGAGCTAACTCCCTACCATGTTGGCAACGGGAAGTTAAATATCGAGATATTAATTAATTTATAAGTTTAGTAGTCTTAAACTTCTACAGCAACGTGAAGAAGGCAATAATCAATGAAATATGTAAAAACAGAAGAAAAACAAACTTGCGCACACGTCCATATCCACGCACATAAATCCGCTTGCTTTTAGAGACTATATGTATTTTGTATTTAGTTCATTTTGACTACATATCATTATATATTTTTTTCAATTCTTTTCTTATGATCTAGTTGCACCACTGAGCTTTATTTCAAGTGTAAAATCAACAGAGGAAATTATCCTGCTGTTACATCACTAGTTTTTACGCCGATAATTGCATGTTGTCCTGTGAAGGGTGCTTAGGGAAGATCACGTTCAGGAAACATTGAAGACAAATCACCTACAATCGCAGCAGGCTTTCCAAAGATCGAGTGCTCTCGTATGATTTATCATAATCCGGTCCGAAATGTTTCCAACACGTGTACATCATCGACTTTTTCAATCAGATAATCTGAAAAGGAATTGATGATTTCTTACTAACTAGAATAAGTACCCTCGTGTCATGTGAATATATTTACTCATAATTTATTTCGTTAAGCGACTTTTCCCTTTTTTAGATTGCGTAGAATTCTTCTGTGTATTTCCGTTCCAGCATCAGCAAAAAGGTTATCTCTATTTTCATGTATCAAGACACGATCTCTAAGTTTTGTTAAAACCATAAGTTGTTCAAATTTTTGGCTCTTCAAATTAGCAATTTTAATATTCCGAGAGTTCAAAGAGTAAAATAATTTGTTTTCAATAAGCTTTAGGGAGAAGCTTCACAAATGAGAATGAATGAACTCCAAGACAATAGGAAACAGAAAAATTCGGGCAAAATGAGAGTCGCCAAATTAACTGACGCTTTTTCTGATAAGGTATTTTATTTTAAGCATTTATCGGAGACGATCTGTTCAGCTGCTGCTTTAAGTTATTCCGTAATAAAGGCTTCTAAATGGTGCACTAGTTGTGACGTAGGACGTTGTTCAAGCACTAAAATATATAGTTCATCAAAGTTTTAGCTTGATCTCATCAGGAAGTATAACCAATACATTAGTCCCTTGTAATGAAACGAAATTTTAATGGTTCATGCTTCATATGTATAAATGTGATTTACAATAATTAAAATCCTATCTCTTGAGGAAGGCTTTTAAGAATCAATTCCTCATTATGGATCCACAAAGATCTACCTTTTCAAGCACAGAATTCCTAATAGTGCTCTTGAAAGATCGGATGACATTAGCTTTAAAAGGAATGAGGATAAAGGAAATCAAAGTAAATTGTTTTGGTTAACAGGAGGATATGTACAATATGATGTTGCTTTACACGATTTTTTTAGGACTTGTGCGCAATATTTTGTTGTTTGGATGTTTGTGGAACAGTCCGGGAGAGCAAATTTAATATTCTAAACTGTATTTTCGCGCGCTAATTTTGCTTAAGAAACAGTTGCAGCGGAATTGATGGGGTTAGAATGCTGGAGAGAAAATCGAAATCCCGATAGAAATCTGAACTACATTTTTTTAAACAGAATTCATTAGATAATAGTTTCATATTAAAAGCACTCACCATAAGTGTATTTTTATTAGTAGCCTCTACTACAGTTGATATACTGATCTTTTGTGTGCGAAACTCTTACATAATAATCGTCAGTGCGTGAAAATGTGCCTTTCTTGGAAATGACTCGTCTATCTCCTATTCACAGACTCCATTAGTGTACAATCCATCATGATGAAAGACTTTGAGAAGAAATCTCAACTGTATAACTGCTTAATAGCCTCGTCAGTGCTGATAAGTCAATTCTGAAGGCGATATTGTGTGTAGAGATAAAATTTAAAATAAATCAAAACACTACTTGTGCAAGACTGGTTAGCACTATTTTTTTGCGAGATTTTATGAGAAAAAAACCCTTCAAACAAGCATAGAGAGTTAATGAAATTTATTATGCTGTTTCCCTCCAGAGAAGTCTAATCAATGATAAAAGATTTTGCATTTTAAATCATGGCGTTAATGAAGATTAATACCACAACGCGGCCTTCTTCTAGGAATGAAAAATATTGATAATAACGACACGGAACGTAAGCGCCATGTTGAGTTGTACATCATGAGATTATCAGCCGTCGCTTACTCGATGTTGTCTAAATTCAAAGATGCGTTTGAGCGCCCTTCGATATACCGGTAGTCTTAAACAATAAATAAGTGGGTCAAGAGCTATTTTGAAGAAAAATATGATGATAGTAGTCGACCATGCTGTTCGTAAACCCTTATCCGTGGGAAATAGTCTCTGCCCGTACACTGAGATGTGCCATACAATCATTATCGGCACACCAAGAGCCGTAACCGTAGCAAGCAATAATAGATTGGCTCGTGTAAAATTTCTGTCTCGCACGCGGACACAGCTTGCGTTGGAGCTTATACAATCTATGGCGCGTTTCACCTGACGCAGATATTCCCTCCCGAGTGCGGCATAAACTGCACAGAGAAGAAAATTGCTGGGTTGAAATGCAATGTGTAGTTGTAGTACATCTACCATTGAGAAAGAGACTCCCATCACCAGCAGAGAAGGGATAAACAAGGAACTACACGTAATAATTGCAAGAGCAATTCCTGTTGTCTTTTTGGTGACGAGGCCTTGTTGTTTATGAGGCATCTTCACGCCAATGTATTGACACAACGATAAACCCAGCATCGACAGATACGACACGCTTGTGGTCCAATAAAATAGAAAGAAGCCAGCGTTAGACAATATTCCTTTACCCGAAAGATCTAAAGCTCCATATCTAGAGCTGATCTCAATCGACAAAAGCGGACCCGCACTCAAACCACTAAAGAAGTTAGCGAACACCATTCCAAAAACGAATGTGGTGGCCGCTGTACGGAATCTCTTGAACGGATCTTTCCACAGTACAATCAACATCAAAGTGTGTCCAAAAACGATTAATAGCGAAAGTAAAGAAAGTAAAACCACCACGATAAAACATTCCACATTTTCTTCACTCATAGCTTGTAGAGGATACAGTTTCCTCGTTTAATCACAAAGAAAACCAAACATCATAGCACTTGTTTTTAGCCGAGAATATTGTAAATGGTCAGAAATGCAATATTGGTCCTTTTGAGTGAAACCATTCTGAAGATTGCATTTATGATCGCTTTTCACTTGAAAAGTGACGTTGCTAAGCAGCAAAGAAAAGAATGCATACGAAATAATGAAGAAAAATTTAATTTGAAAAGTTTTGACAAGAGACAGGTGTTAAATCACCAATGAAGACAGAGCTATGAGATTTGCATGTACTTAAGGAAAACAAAACTCCGGTCATTTTTTCGAAATATTGCATGGTTCAGTCCTTAGGGAAAAAAAAAGTGGGTGTCTACCCTGCCGAAAAAAGAGAGAAGACATTAAAAAAAAATACTTCATCATAACAAGGTATCAAACACTGCTTGGACCTTATATTCAAGTTTCCTTTCTCAAAATGGCGGAAACTACTTTGTTATTAAGACCATAAGTTTATTGAGTTCAGCCTTACGTCGGAGAATTAGTCTTATGAGCTTCTTGAGCATCAGAGGTTTTCACTTCATGATTTCTCTTCACTTTTCCATCGCGAAATGTTTTTGAAAGCATGTTACTTCGATCATAAAATGTTTTAAAAATATACTCAATAAATTTTTGATTTATGGATAATTCTGTAAATATGGAGGATATGTTTTTCTTTTTTTGGTACTGGTTGTGTTTTCACTAAGACAATTTGGCTCGATGAAACTGCGTTGTTTTGAGGTGAATGAAATGTTCACTATAGAATAAGAGAGATGGTGAGTTCTGAGCTTGGTAAGGAAAGAGAGAGAGAGAGAGAGAGAGAGATGTTTTTCGTCTTGTCACGAGCGTGGGACAAAGAAAAAATTGCTTAGGGTTAGAGTTTCCATGAGGAATCGAACCTCAGACCTTCGGATTCCGCGCTCCGATGCTCTACCACTAAGCCATAGAGACTCTCGCTCTGTGAGCGAGGTCTATTACGAATTCGAAGTTCATGTGACACGCGTTCCGCATACTGCTAAGATCAGCAATGTTAATAGAGTCATGCTTGTAAATAGAATAGGAGAGATGGTTGTTTTTTATTCTTGTCACGAGCGTGGAATAAAACACATCTTTCTCTCTTTCTTTACCGAGCTCAAAACTTACTATTTCTCTTATTCTATTTACAAACATGAACTTCGCTCACTGTAGAGTCTCTGTGGCTCAGTGGTAGAGCATCGGAGCGCGGAATCAGAAGGTCTGAGTTCCATTCTTCATGGGGACTCAGAATCTTTTCTTTGTCCCGCGCTCGTGACATGTCCATGCAATTTTATATCTCAGCCACTGTTCGTGATTGGCTAGCATAGATTTCAATATTATTTGATTTTTTATTCTCATATTCTCGTATTTTCTTCTTAAGCAACTAACTATTTGTCAATGGACAGTTTAGAATTGGTATTACTGTCATTTTCCCACATTTTCAGTATGTGGTCCTCGGGAATCATTCTCTACAGATTTTCAAACTGTTTCCTGTTGAGAAACCTATCGTGAGGCGTCCATAACAGCTGTAAGTTCAAAATTCTCTCAAACAATTTTCCTGCTGACAACTTTGGAGGTTAAAACTAGGCCAGAAGTTTTAAAAAATCGCTCCGTTTATCGTTTATTTCAATCATGAGGAAATCCATTCTGAGTCAATTTAAATATCTTTCTTATTTTGACCAAAACTTCTATATAATTATGCCGGGTGCTTTCTATCGCTGGACATTTTTTTTGTCTTTGTTCTGTTTTTGGCTGCTTCCAGCTACCGCAAAACGTATCGTAGACCGATGAAACGACGCGCGTGATAAGTGCTAGAACAGGCATAAATTGGGTAAGTTTGGCCCACCTTATCCCTTAAACAGGCATAGTGACCTAACTTTTTCATTGCACTTTAACGTATAAAACAAATTGTTCGTTATCTTTTTTTCTGAGGAACCACCTTAAGGAAGTGTTTGAATTTCAGATACATTTTTACGTCTTCAAGGCTTTTATGAGAACTTGTCATCTTCGGGTGAATTTTGCTCGCCATGTGCAGTGTAAAATTTGATATCTATAATGTTCTTGACTGGCTTTCAAAGTTATTATCGACCTGGATTTTGCTTGATTTTCTTCTTTTTTTCTTTTGTTGGCCTTTTAATCATTTTAAAAAAATCTATCGATCAGGAATGTATTTTAAAATAATGATGATCATGGCAAATAAAAAATATTGTTATGATTATTACCGTTATACGGAACACTGGTACTTGTATACACTTTTACGAAAACATCAGTGCATGTTGATACATATTAATCCCTCAAATTATCGGTATTTTAAATTTTGGTATGTATGGGGGAATAGCTCCTCTAATAGGGTTTGCACGAAAGTTTCCTTTTTGTTTTCCTTTGTTTTTGCGTTGATTTATTTTCCTTTTACAGTTTGATTCTTCTCTTTGTTTTTTATATAGAAAAGGAATAAAAACTGATGAGCAAAAGCCTCCTCCTAAATAAATAGCGTCACTTTGAAAAAAGAACAAAAAGAAACGAAGCACGAACAAAAAGAACAAGATGAACAAACATAAAAAGCTTTTATTCCTTAGCTCAGATGTGGAGGGTCCTAAGTTTGCCGTTATCTTTGTTTTATACCCAGAAAAGGAACCCCAATAGTAAAGCTTGAAAGATTCAATTTTCTGTTTCTGACATTTAACTCAATTGCACGCGTATTCTTTTAGATTTTTCACATAATTTAAACTGACCAAATTTAACCAGACAATAATTATAATGATGCCTTCATTAAATTATTCTTGTGATTCTTTTTCATCAAATTCCCTTCTGTTGATGAAGACTTTTTTAAAAGCTTAGTCTTATAAAGCAATAGGGTAATTTAGTGTTATCAACTGAGTTGATAACGTAAATTGTTCGCTGTAAAGAATTTAAAAGCTGACGTTTCGAGCTGTAGCCCCTCGTCGGAGCAATTATCTATTTTTTATTAAAACAATAAACCAGACGGGGCGTAAAATACAGTTAAGTATCATATCCTTTTCAGAAAATTTGAAACCGATTACACTGTTTTACAGTATAGGCATGAATGTATATACGTGAAGCTTAAAAAATACCTCCACTCAATTTCTGTCACATTTATATATTTGCTTGAACAATTGAAAACGTGCTTCACATTGAATTGTGCTGTAACCTCGACAGAAAAAAAAAGAGGGTTTTTTTTCCACATGGATGTAGCTACGATTGTTAGAGGTCAACACCTTCCAATCACTTCCCAAAAATTACTCAAATGGTTTAAATTGCTTCATAGTAAACCTCTACCTCATCTGCACAAAAATTATTGTTTCCTGTCCACCCATAGCTGTCACAATACGGACTGGTGTACGAGTAACAATTGAAGTAAGAATAAGAGTTACTGCTTGCGTAGCTTGCAACATAAATGTCATGTCCCCCACCGAATGTCGGACCATAATTATAGTAGCTGTATGTGGCATACTGTGGATAGACGTTAACATCGTTTTTGAAATATCCATATCCTCTGTAGTTTCTAAGAGAAAAGATGAAGGCTCGCGTTGAATAGATGTAACCTTGGGACCCTGAAATAAAGAAAGGATTTTACTTAGAGAATAAGAAATATTTAAAATAATAGGTTCTCTCTTTCTTCCTCTGTTTCTTTTTCCCCCTGCTTGTAAGTATTTCATCATCTTATACAAAATTAAGCCGACGAGATTATCGCCATTCATGACATTTCTCAGACCCAACGTGCGCTCTGATTGGCCATAAATCTATTGTTCATTTGCCTGTATACCCACAGAAAACTGAAACATCTTCCTCGTCCAGTTAATGGTGCCATACAGGGCCAATTACCAAGCATAAATGTGTTAAAGGCCTTTTATTTGCAGGAAACGAAGACGACACTTAGAACGCCAAAAACATCGACAAAGATTTAATTTTTGCAACTTTGTCAAAAAGTACAGTTTAGCTAACTGGTTGCTCCCTTTTAAGTCTTCATTTTTCGTTGCGCGGTTAAAGTGAAACAACCTCAGAAATTCCGGACTAAGATTCCCCAAACTGCTCCCTGCGAACAAAAAGCTGGCATGTTTTTGCTTCAAGAAAATTGTAGCGGCAAATTAACAGGATTTTCATTTTCATTTTCGGGAGAAAATGTGAGAAACAACTATATATTTCAACTGGCTTTCCAAGATGATTTTGAATCGATCGAAATGCCACCATCGAAATGCCATTAAAGTGTCAGTAGGCCCGTCAGATCTAAAACCAGATATGGCTCGAATTCTTGGAGAGAAGGCACAGAAAAGAACTCTGAATTAAACAGGAGTCATGATAAGAATTTGTTTAGACTTCAAATCTTTCCAGATTTGAATACAAAGTTTCTACTTTATATTAGATTCCGGATTCAAAATCTCCTGATATGTGTCAAAGAGAAGTGGTTCAGTTGAGGAAACTTACTAGAACGGCTCATAAAATTTGCACAAGTGTAAATCTAGGCAAAAAGTAAAGTTTCATATCGTGTGTACTGAATCAATTTAGATTGTTTTTTTTTTGATCAAATGTGTCGACATATAATCTTTGTTTACCAGGCGCTAACTCTAACAACACTAGAATTTGAAAGTTAGGAGTTCGTGGTCAATAAATTACAGTAGTAGGTCACGAACATACATTTCCACGACTTATCGGTGTAACCACCAAATATGTAGCCATGAGCACGAATTATAGTCACAGTGGGTCCAAGGTCGTCACAATGACGGTGAAATGTTTCTGAATTCCATCCATTATACGAAGCTCTGTAGCACCGTTTCCAGTAACTTTTCGACGCACTCTGCAAACGGGAATTAAGCCAGGAATTCAGCTGGGACATTTTACTTGTGTCTCCACCTATGATACTTGAGTTATCGAGGCCACCTGGGTGAAGAAAATTTGACGGAAATGTCAATAATGTGTATGCTGTGTTAACCTAAATAAAGCGCTAATGACAGAACAATTACTAAAATCTTAGCTCATCATATTTTAAGAAATCTGTCTTTTCCACGGTACGAATTAACAAAAACCTCCATTCGGTGCTCGGATATTTTTCGGCGGATATGATCGGTTCCGAAATGCAAACAGTTCTCCGAAAGCGAAGCAGGAACTCATAATCTTTGGCATCAAATTTACGAGAATATTTTCAAACAAAATAGAGGCTAGCTATTAAGTCATTATCTACCAAGAATGGAGTATAGGAGACGTTTATGTATAAACTCAGGCTTCTGGAGTAGAGCTCAGAGGTTACGCCTCCTCAGCTTATGTTTTCATTGCTTTGACCGAAAAATGTCATCACGAAAAAAAAAAAAAAAAAAAAACAAGGTGGACTCGTTAGGTTCCACAATTTGCTTCTCTATTCTTAAAATTTTGATTTTGAAGTAAGGCTTAGTTACCAGGACTTTCGAGAAACAGGCTCCAGGGCTCAAAACCTAGACGCAGAGGCTAACGTTCATTCCTTAAACCAATGACGGAAAGACTATTCAAGTCGAAACTTACGGTGAACAGAGCACGTTTTCCCATCGCCATAGTAGCCAGAGTTACGGTCACACTGGCAAGTAAATGATCCTGGTGTGTTTGAACACTTTGCGTTGGCATCACAGTCATGACTGTTGAGTGTACATTCATCGACATCTAACGATGGGAGAAAGAACACATCTTAAGGTTTGCCCGAGTCAAATAAAATATATCTTTTATTAGGAAAGTGAAAGTGAGCGATGTAGACACGTTTTTTAGCCGGCAATAATTCTCCCAAGAAGAAATAATAATTCCCCCAAAGAAGCATTTGACCCTTCTTACAACTTGCATTACATTTCAAAAAAGGTATTAATTCAAGTGAAATATGAGTGGCAAATAAATTATTTTCTGCTAAGAACTTGGCACTTTACCCCGGCGGACTGTTTTTGCCTCTTCAGCTTTCCTCCGCTTTGATCACTGCATTAGCTAGAGAGTCTTGCACACCCGAATGATGGCTTAAGATTTTTTAGAGTACATTGAAAAAGAAATACTGAAAACAATTAACTTTATTTGAAATATTAATTGTTAGATACGAAACCATCTTGTTCAAAAACGGCCGCGGAGAAGAATGGAATCCTCCTACTTTTGAAGAGTGCGAATGTCGTATTAATTTCAAAAGTAGAAAGAAAGTTTAACGCCGATGCCTAGTAAATGTACCTCTACAAGTCTTTCCATCACCAGTGTAACCGTTCATGCAACTACAAGTGTACGATCCATCAGTGTTTTGACACGTTGCACTGCTATCACACTCATTGCTTAAAGAACATTCATCTATATCTGCAACAGGAACGGTAAGACAGAACGTGAGGTACTCCAAAATGCCCAAAGTGTTCCTTGTAAGCGAAAAGCTACAGCCCGGCGGCTAATCCCTTTCGTCTTTCAAGACAATAAGGTACAATTATGGGATTGATAAGGATTTTGTCGTATTTTAAATGGTCCTATAGCAATAAAATTCCTCAACTTTGGAAATTCCACAACTCTTTTAGGATAAGTGGTTGTTGCTATGGTTATTGTGATCAATTCTGTGATTGGTGGATTTGACTGAAAGGACTAAGTATGACTGGCTGCTTCCACTGTCCGATTACAGGTGTCCGATTACAGCCAACTGTCCGATTAGAACTCTACAACTACTGCACCAATCACATAAGAGGAAATTGTAATTCGTGATTGCATTTATGCATTGAGTGGATTTAACTGGGTGGACTTAGTATGATTGCTTCGCGGTCGTCCGATTTTATTAATCACTCGTATGATTACAGACCGAATTGGACTCCACTCGGTCCAATTACCATTATTAATCACAACCATTCCAATTTCCGAAAAAAAAAACAACAACAAATACATTTAAGAAAAACATCTCCAGTAGTGAAAATGTCTAATAAAAAATTTGGAAATTTCCCAGTTTTTTTTTTTTTTAGGGTGAGTGGTTGTTGCCATGGTTATTGTGGTCAGTTCTGTGATTGGTGGATTTAACTGGGTTGACTTAGTATGATTGGCTGCTTCAACGGTCCGATTACAGGTGTCCGATAAGAGCTAATCAGTCAGTCAACTAATCAGTCAGTCAGTCAATAAATCAAGCATCAATCCATCCCTTATCAATACACTAGACAGCAAAACTTCTTAATTTTAGCATGATATTGAGGGTTCTGAATTTTGCCACGTACTGACTTGCGCATAAACTCGGAACACATTATTGTAGTATTCACACTTGGCTAAATTTCTCAGAGTGACAACTTTAATGAGGGTAAATCCCTTAAAGCAATACCTGCACAACTCCGACCATCACCGCTATACCCACTGGTACAATGGCATTTGTACGACCCGTGTGTGTTCGTGCAGATACCATTCTTGCTGCAGTCATGATTATTTCCTACGCATTCATCAAGATCTTGAGAAAAAAAAAAGTTTGATAACGATAAGGCAAAAAGAAAAAGCAACAGTACTAGCGAACAAATTAAAAAATAGAACAAGAACTTAAAACTGTATCGGGGGCGGCGATGAGAGGCTGGGATTGGGCGGGGGCGGGAGGCGGGAGGAAGGGACGAAAGGAGAAAGGAAGGAGTAAAGAAAAGTGAAAAGGGATGAGCGAGGTTTTCGATTACCGCTTTGTTAGTTTTCCAAACCCTTTTTTCAGTATTCCACGTACTTTTTTTGAAACAAACAAGCATTCCGAAATTGTTATCTCGAGCAAGAAAATATCCTAAGCAGATACAGTGTTTGATTGATATCGACCTGCAAAAATTACCATTCCCTTACCCTCTGAACACGTGAAGTTATGGCAGCTTCCGCAGCTTACGTCATTCCACTCAAAACTATGTCCAACTCCTAGGGTATGGACGCAGTCCTCGTCTAGTCTGAAATCGTTAGGTTGATTTGGAGCCCAATATGTGAAGTTGCTCGACTGATTACCAGCCCAAACAAATGTGCCCTCGGTGTCTCTGTCATTCAGTCCGATCCAACCCTTCTCTCCATTAAGACGGTGCTGAACGTAAACATTTGCTTCTTGAGTTTTAATAGCGACCAGGTTGGCATTGTCTCTTTGGCAGGTCTTTTGAGCTTCAGTCCAGGTCTTGCATGATTGACTTGTGGTGTAGCAAACACCAGAGAAGTATGACCAGCCAGGCTTACAAACGTCTTCACCGAATGACGCACCATAAAAAAAAAATTTAAAAATTTAAAAAATGAAGAAGAAGAAACAAGCTCTTAGTATTCCTGTTCGCTAACCATAGGTAAACCAAAACTTTGTCAGAGCATTAGACAGTCACTTTGTTTTTTTATCATGTAAAAGTGCTCACCAGCTAGAATGACGTAAGATACGGTAACAGGATCATGCTGATCTGCAAACAGCTCTTTGAGACAAATACGAAATTCTGACTTCTTTATATGCTGAAAATTGAGTCAAGAAAGGCTCTCGTGAGTGTAAGTTGACATTAAGAAATATCGACGTAAACATTTAGACTAAGGTGTTGAAGAAGAAAACATAACATTTCCTATGCGTTGTGCGAACGGCAAACACAAGAAATTATTACGTTTTCCTGCATTTGCATACATTAATCTTCCAGGAAAATGCGTTTTCAGCCGCTAACTCCGGTGAATACTTTGTTGTACACTGGGAAAATGCCAATGAACAAAAGGAAAACAAGCTGTTTGCAGTGCGTTAACCGAGCGGTTAATGCCGGAAAATGATTTGTTTACCTGCATTTACCGTGAGGGAGAACTACCGTAAAATGGTACGAATACTGGGATTCTCCGATGCGAAAACGCACAGAAAATGTCAGATTTTCCGAACGCAAAACATGGGTAAACGTTTGTAAAATGTCGCGTTTACCGTGAATTCAATCTTCGTTTTCCGTACGGTGAACGCTAGTTTTTTTGTGATCTTTTATCTGCATCATGCACATAAAAAAATATTCCTTTGAACAACAAAAAGTAAAGAATATAAGCATAAAGACACCTCTATCCATGCAGCAACAGACATATAAGTTGGCTTTAAGTTGTTTCCCTCTGACTCGTGATTCGGTGTAAGTATTATAGTAGGTTCTTTGTCATGCGACTTTGAAAACTGCACGTCCTGCAAAAAATGAGGTTTAAAAGTTGAAGTCAAAACTGACAGGTAAGCCAGCAAACAAAACAACACATAAATTACTAGTAAGGGTAACAATGAGTTGCGACGAGCCGTGTCTTCCGAAAAAGTTTCCGACAAGCCACCGTGTACTCTGGGCATTTACGATTGAGTTGCATATTTGCTACCTACCTCGCAGAATGCGCCATTGTAGTTTTTAGAAACCGAGTTGTTGTTGGGGAACTCAATTTTTTGGCTTTCGGTAAATAGCGGGCGATGAATTGCTTGGAAAGCCATCCAGCTCTTAAAAAAAAAGATGTTGAAATGAATTGTTAAAATGATGCTTATGTACCATTAACCCAGAAGCATCAGAAATTTCGGAAAAATAGTCCATGGAAGGGCTCATTTCGTTTGTTGGACCGGGAGACCTCTGAGAATTTCGGAACTGCGAAAAGGTACTCGCTAACAAGACGATTTTCCCTCCAAAGTGCGGGTAACTCTTGAAGTATTTGTTATGAATAAATTAATTATTTCCAAAAAAGTTCAAACGTAATCACATCGAAACAAATTCTAAAGAAAATAGCATAAAAAAACAAACACAAGAAAAAAGAGATCACCAAACTACGAATTTTAAAACCAAATGAAATAGCCATGTGAGTGTCAATAAGCTCGTTCTAAAGAAGAAAAAAACTCAGATGTGAAAATATAAAATACTGTTATAACGAAACTTGTTCACTATGAACTTTGACTGTTGTTAATCGTTGAGTGGTTCAAGATGTTGAAAGTCCACATACCACAAAAATGTCTTCATGGAGACCATCATAATTTTGCAGTTCACGGAGACAGATATAGAATGAGGAACTGGTGGCATTTTCTATCCAAAGACTTGCGGCGTCGTGCTTGTAGGCGGAACTTACGTGATCTGCTGTAGCCAGAACGATAGGTTTTGCAGCAAATTTGCCCTGGTTTTATTTAAACGAATTGACATTTGTAAGCTGTTTATGGGGGAAAATGAAATTTTCTATTCACAGGAGTCGGTCATTTTCACTGGAAACGGTGCACGAGAAATCATTAGCTAAAATAATTTTTATTTCATTATCCTAGATGATGCAAATTGTCAAATATAATCATTATAGACAAAAAGGAACCTCACATTGGGTAATGGAATCTTTTGGCATTTCGTTCCGGTCCACCATTCTGGTATCCGTGTTTTTCCCGCCACACCTCCGTCTGGAGCACCTTGGTAAGCCATCCAGTCAACGAATGCAAATTCTTTAGCACCACGGTCATTTCTGCCTGCAGCCGTCACACAAACCTAAAAAAATGAATGAATGAACAAATAAATGAAGGAAGGATAAATAAGAAACAGATAAATCGTGTTTGCGCCTTCTTCGCCATTGGTAAATGATATCTGCGCGACACCGTCGAATGCAAGCTAACTTGAACTTTGAGGGCGTCTAGTTTGTCAGTTAGGTATTTTAATTACTGTTAAGCGTTACTTTCATAACATAAATTCTCTTACTTACTTATATACTTACTAACTCAATGGGACAGAGATTTTACAAACAATGAAATAAAAAAGGGTTTTCAGTGATGGATATACAGAAGAGTACATTAGTGCAGTCAGCAAAGATTTTGCATTATTTAGGTTGATAGTTTCGATTCCGCTGAATAGTTACCTAGAAACGCTCCAAAGGAATAAAAGCAATGTGTTTTTAATTGTTTGCTTGTTACGAAAGTTATAGTTTGCTTTTAGAATTTGATAGCAAACCTGAAATAACATTAACGTTATCGATATTTTTCTAGTCATTTTATTATTACTCGCCTTAAAATTTTGGTAATTGACATTTTCCACCCAAGAGACGGTGGCTTCGTGCACGAAATTCTTCCTGGTGGAGTTCCAGTGATTTGTTGTGATCTGAACGTGCACCTGCTTGTCCGGATAGAACGAAAATGGTGGGAAGGTCACCAGCTCGCAAGCTGTGTCAGCCCAGGAAACATCTCGTTTCAGTTCAACTCGCCCACGCTGGACAGGAAAACCTAAATCAGCAACGATAAAGAAGACCATGTTATGCGGTGTCAGCAAGCAGTGTTTGGCATTTTTCCTCTCTACACCAGTTTTAAAATTTCGTGATAACATTTTTAATTGCACCATATTGAAACACCACTAAAACTGCCGAGCTGGAACACAATATATGTCAAGGGAGGTTATAACCAGCTTTCACAATCACTTGAAATATCATTTTGCTGTTATTTACACTGCAGCTCCCTATAGTATCCTGATGAAAACATCGTAATGATTTATACCTAATTAAAAAAATTAACATATAAGTAAAGTTTAAGTCTCACCAGTGCAGCTTCCAGGATGATACAGAGTATGGTTACTCTTCAGCCTGCACATTTCCAGTTCAAAGATACACTTGTTTTTAAATGTGGTAGAGTTGGATGAACACACTGGCTCCTCGTATGAAGGACAGTTTTCTTCGCACACACAGCGGGCGTCAAATGCGTCGAATGCCTTGCAGACAGCAAAGTATTCGCATGTAACGTTGATGCACGGGTCAAGGTCTTTGGATAACATTAAATATAGTAATATAGTGAGCTTTTCTCCATTTTCAAAACTTCCGTCAAAAGAAGAATTTTCAAGACAGGAAAAGATTGGGTTTTTTGATACGTTTTTTACTTGTGTGAACCCTTTAAAACCCTGATCAATCATGAATTCTTAAACATACCTTGCTATTTGTAACAATCAATGAGTAAAGCGCTTTCGAAATTTCTCTTTAATGCTTACCTCCAATGACAGTGTAGTCGACAGCTATTGGATCGTGATTCCTACTTATTCCCTGGCTGTCCTTGACACAAACCTTAAACGCCGATTTACTAACCTCCTGCGGATAATGATAAAAACAAAAGATCAGAGAGTGGCAAAAAAATTAATTTCACTCTATATCATCACTTTAAAAAGGTGTTATCCCGACTGACCTCTGACTAAGAGCCTAATTTTAAAGTTTTAAAGACAACGTGCTACGGAACTTTTTTCACTTCTTTCAGCTTCATTGCCTATTTATAGCTCTTCACCGCCTGATTGATGCGATGTGCTCTAATCTTTTGAGACCAAGTAATAAAATGGAAAAAAAAGGAAAGCAAAACAACAAGAAAAAAAATTGAATGCTAAGCTGAACGCCGGACAAAATAGGACAAGGCAATCTTCATATATTACATGTACCTCCATCCATACGTTCATAGCGTTGTGACAACCATCTGAATCACTCGACGACGCACTGGTGGAGTTTTCGTGACCTCCGGATATCAGGACAACAGGCGGCTTGTAGAATGGATTTTCAAATTTCAAATCCTATTTTTTTTAATTAAAAAAAAAAACAGTTATAGTTTACAGCTCTTTTTGATGGGCTAGAAAACTCACTAGGCGATAGGCATAAACACTGATCATAACGGTGTCAGTGCTATTTACAAGGGCTTTCTTCTTTTTAATAGAACTGATTCATTTTATCTAATTAAATAAGATTACTGTCAAACCGTTATGAAGCGGTCACTTAAGGGGAATGACGGGGTGACTGATTAATACATGTTGACAGCTAGATACTGGTTGTAACATAGCGCACCGCAAGTTCTTCCTAATTCCTAAGGAGCTACCATGGTAAAAATCTTTAGGGACCCACGGCCGTGCATAACTGAGTCTTTTTACTTCAGCTGGGGCTTTGCGGTGTTGGGAATTCTTCGTTACAACGGCAAATTATATTTTCAAGTGTTGATATGTCCCAAAAGTGTTGTCATAAGATTTTCTTTTAAAATCGTACACTATTCAACACAAAGCTACGCAATTTTGTGGTCGTGAATTCTAGTAAACGACAATTAAGCAAAAAATTTGTAAGTTTTTCGCTTCAATTTTTAGAACGGCTGATATTATTTTTAAGTGTTTATATTTCCTAAAAGTATTGTAGAATAGGGGATTTTAATTTTAAAAATCTTACAAATGCAGAATTTTCAACCCGAACCTACGGAATTTTCTGATAAACAAGAATTCAAGCATGCTGAATCTACTCAATAACGCCAAAATTCTCACTAGAAAACAATGAAAAACTTTAGTAAAATAATGGGTTATTAAACAATGATTTTTACCTGGCAAAAAGCGTAGTTATTTTCCTTTAATGGAGCCCCTAAGCCAGCAAAATTAATTTTCCCTCGCTCAGTGAAGTTCCAGTAGGAGGGAAGGGTGTCGTATGCAAACCAGTGCTGGCGAGAACAAAAGACAAAAAAACAAATGATCAAATCAAAAACAATGATCTCAAGTAGCGAAAGCAATCTATTTCGTGCAAAGAAAAATAAACTAAGCTGGTGTAACATAGCCAGAAATTTCATACAGTCAGCGGCTTGAACGGCGGGCGCGTAAATTTCGGTATTCAAGATGGCGGACAGACGAAAGCAATCTGAAGGCTTCTATCGGAGCCGAAATGCTCTCAGTTCGGCAGATTTCATGGAAAGTCGACGGAAGAGACAAAAAGGACCTGGCCCTTACTATCAAGTGGAAAGAGTTTTAAGCTGCGGGCGAAAGAAAGGAAAAGTAAATAGGACGTCTGCTTGAAGCGAATAACGTCACTCAAAAATTGATATTCACAAAACCTTGTGCATAATTTTTAACCGCACGCACAAACAAGTGTTCTATGTATTTTTTTTTCTTTTTTTTAAGAATGAGTACTTAATTCGTCGGAAAGGGTACACTTCCCTGGAGGACACTTGAGAAGTGGAGGAAAACCTTAACGAAACGATAAGGTAGCATTTGACCAGTCACAATTAATTAACATAAAACTTAATTGTTTTATTATACTACTGCTCAAGCTAACACCAGAGTCTGGTCTAACACGAAAAAGTTCGAGAGACAAGAAGCAATCTTATTTGTGTTTTTAATTGATTATTGTGTAACTTTTTGCATAAGTAATTGGCCACTTTCCAAGTATGTTAGATAATAATTAATTCGAACTATTTTGTTTAGGGCATTTAGAACATCCAAACCCTCAGAGGAAAGAATTAAAGAGGGGTCTGATTTACTGGCAGTTGCTATTCTCCAACATCTCAAGAGCAAACATCAGACAGCCTCGGCCACAACTGTGATGGAAATTAGACATGATGTTTTTAATTATATTTTTAGAGGACAAGGAAGACCCAGCACAAAATCTGGTTGCATCTTGTTGGAGAAGAATGACTTTAACCGCTGTTCTTTTTTCAAAGAATTTAATGACTGGGACACTTACATAGATAACCTTGGCGATGGCACACAAGTTGTGTTTCCTATCAGAGTTAAAGCTTTAGTGAGCTTAGCACCACAGACACATAAACTTGTGGAGGGGAAGCTTGTACCTAAGCCCAGATACCATCTCGAGAAAGTAAGTTTAAGTTTTAACAAGCATTCAATTGTAGTATTGTGATTGAAACTGAAAATGTGAATGTCTGATTTTATATGGGTCTAAATGTAGGTACAAGCTATTACCATTGCACCAACCCTGCTCCTAAGAAATTATGTTGTTATATTAATTAAGTTAGAAAGTTATATTAAAGCCTTGCCATTTATGTTTGTCTTTGAAAACTTCTCTGTTTATGCACATAACACTGTAGCTGCTCAGATGATGATGTCTGCAGTCACTGTCAATAATAGTTTCTAATTTTTTTCTTTTTAATGCTATATGAAATTGTATGTAACAAGATATGTATTTTAAATTTTTCTTTCTCCATTATGCATTGCTTGTTACTTCATGCAACTGTCTTTGAACGCCTTAGTTACACGTGGCAGTGACCAACTCAAAAGCATAAGCTCCTTTGGTCACTGTGCACATTTTACCATCGATTATTTATGTAATTTTTTGTTTCCATGTTTCTTCTTCTTCTTACTTTTGTAATCTATATAATTACTCTGCTGTAACCTCTTGAAATAGTGCAAAAATAAAAAATCGGGAAAAAATCTATCTTTCATTTTGTATCTTTCATCTTATGATATTCCTAGGTTGTAAATATGAGGATTAAATAACTCACCTTCTTGAACAGAGGAATTAGCATTCTGACCTGCTGCTTGAAACTTTTCTTGCTCTCTCACAAGATAATACCACTCTTTAATGGTTGAATATGCTAAAGAAATTGTTAAGGCTACCTTTCTTGTTGCTATGTTCCTTGCATATTGCAAAGATGTATCCACAATATCGATGTTCCAAGGTTGAAACAATTTATTTGGAGGTATTTCAGACATGGCACTTATAAATATTTGATTTTCCCTCGATTTTCCCGTAATCTTCCCGCATTTTTTCGAATTTCTGCCGATTCTTATGTTCAGCGGCTTTCCTATTGTAAGAGGAAACACCACTGACCATGGAAACTAAGAAAAGCAAAATGGCTGTCAAATAGAACGAAAACAAACTAGAACAAGGAGCATTCTTGCCTCAGTGTAATGCCTCTCACTTCGCTGATGACATTTTCAGAAAATGGTACTTTTTTTCTTGAAATGGCACTGCCTTAACGGTTGTTTGTGTGGAAGGAAATCACTTTATTTGCGACCTTTTCATCTTGTCTTTCGAATGCAGTGATGGGAAAATGTGTCAGTACCACGATCTTCGCTGCGAGAGTTTAGGAAAGTATGAAGGTAAGCACCCTTTATATAGGCTTATGAGAGAATGGTACGCTTATGAGTCGATCCAAAAAAACAGTAAAAGGCACCGGCTAGAACAGTTTCATCTTCGCATTTTGTTCGAATAAACTGTTGTTTATACATTGCTTTTTGCATTTTTAAGCTGGGGAAAGCTGTGTTCTGGATAACGTTAACAAAAACTCGAAACGTTTGCATTTCTCTCCACACTCTCTCTATGTTTGACCGCCATATTTAAATCCATATGTGTGCACCCTGCGCATGCTTGGCAGCCATGCTGTATGGAATTTCTGGCTATGAATCAGCAACGAAAGAAACCAAAAAAATAAACAAACAGTAATAGGCTAATCAACAGATGCAATTTGCACGATGGCAGTGAATTTAGAGCCGGTTATTGGCCCAAAGTGTACGTGCAATAAATGCTTCTCGGTTGTAAAAAAATTTTGCTGTCAACTCACCACTTTTAGGTCTGAATGGATGCCATCAAACGCCATTAACTCTCTCATACAGATATGAAACTCGTTTTTCTTGACATCTTCCAGCCAAAGATTCATGGAATCATATGGTCTGTCCGTATGCTTATGCTGAACTGTAATAAAAATTTGAGGCTTGCTCTTAAAACCCTGTGAATAAATTAGAGGGAAATAAATCAGACCAGGATCACACTTTAACCTTCTTCTTTACAGTGGTTATTAAAGCAATGTGAGAATATCAGTATATATTGGTGACGAGGATTTAAGATAAAGCTCCTCTTAGCTAGGCTAACCTTTCGTTAAAACAATTACAACATCGATTCTATTTTGACATGCGCATTGCTTTTAAAGGTATTCCCATTCGTCGCAATCGCTTAATTTTGGTTGAAACTATCTATTTTTAACTCCTAGTTTCAACTGATAATTAAATTAGACATCTTGAAGTACTAATCTAGCTACACGTAGAACACGACCTAAATTGAAACACGACTTACATTACTGCGGTTACCAGTAATCGATACTCGTTTGCACTGTGTTCTTGTGGCCCATTCATCGAAGTCCACGGTGCCAGATTTAATTCCTTGATGCGAACCTTGAAATGCAAACCAGTTGATAACAGACGTACCTGCTGAGCCACTTCCTGCCTCGCGAACGCAAACCTTAAATCCTGACGTGGAGATTGATTTTACCCACAGCGCAGCTGGATCGTGGATTTTGATGTGTTTGTTGCCATGGCTAAGGGTGACGAAGACTTTGACGTCACCTGAGCCCTGGAACTGCGTCTTGAAAGAGACGGACTGGCAACCATGATTGTTTTGGGAGGTGTCAGTTATGTTGACCTTTCCAGCTTGAAAGACAGATGCTTGAAAGGAACATATCAAATAGAAAGGCTGGTACTATCGATATCAGGGCCATGAACAGAAAAATGCCGGAATTCTAAAGTAAAGTTCGCTTGCTCTCGAAGGTGACTTTCGATCTTAACTGCAATCATTGCAATGTTTACCCTCAAAATTCCACATTTATGGCCTTGGGCTATCGCTAACCCATGTGACATGTACAATGAAAAAGCCAGTAACATTAACGCACCTTAAGATTAGGACCAGAGGGCGACTTTGGAGACACATAGAATGTGTTAATTTTCTAAGGGCGAGAAACTACATGCATATCTAGCTTTAAAAATTTAGGTAAATTCTTCTATAAAGGTTTATGGTTTATTTCAGTGGGTATAATCTCAGATTAGAGACTTCTTAGCCATTTTACTGCTTTTGTTTAGGACGTAAATCAATTCAAAGCTCGATAATTAATAATTGCGTGGATGAATAAAGTAAAAACCATCTTCTTTTCTGACGTGATCACCTGAAGTGTGGATCGAGTTTGGACATGCTTTTTTATGTTATATTTTTCGGCTCGTAAATCAAAGTCAACAGTTTTGCGAAGAGGAACAATAGTAGAGACAATTAAATTCCTTCGAATATATCAAATAAGCTCAGAACAAAAAATTTAGACTCTCACCACTTGAAAGACACAGCTGGAGGAGAAACACAAGGATAGCGAAGAGCCCAAATGTTTTCTTTGCGTCCATTCTGTGGCACTACAAGTTCAAACCTTTCTGGAGGATTCGCTGATCCCAAACTTTCAGCAGGGAATGCTAGAAGAAGCCTCTGGTGCCTTTTTAAATGGTACCATGAATAAGGAAGAAGATATTTGATAGCTTCGCTGGAACGAGGTCAGGGAAAACTAGCTCACGTGATTAGCTTTTAATAACTTTTATTTCCGAGAAGTCTACTGCAAGTCTGAGTATAATTTAAATAGTGAAACTCGCCCATGTCTTCCCTAAGTCCCTTCCTCTGCATTTGTCTCTTCTTTTAGAGCTGGTTGAGCAAGAGTCCGGTTTCATTTTTCAGTAAGAGGTATTTTTCTCCCATTTAATTGGGCGAATCGTCTCGTTGCCTGATCTCATATTAGCTTCTATCGAGTATTGCTGAAACGGGGTCAAAGAAGGCACCGTTTATTGTCAACAATTTCTTGAAATCACGCAATAAGAAACAAAGAAATGTTAGAAGTTTTAAGGACTGCTGAGACACCGTTGCTTAAACGGGGTTAAATGGTAGATTACCAAAATAGGATGTAAAATCTTAGAATGTTTTGGCTTTTTGCCTCTGAATATTTAATGGGATGATAAAAAAAACTATTCACCATGATGGAGGTGAACAGTATTGGATAATTCTATTGGTATACACCACACGAGAAACCAAACATTTATTCATTTTGGTCAACATCCCGAAGAAATAGTCGAAAGTATCAAACTCTCGATGTACGATTTCCCGGTCTCTACGGCTGAACTAGCCAATCAGAGCACGTGTGCAGGGGCAAATACCATCCGCAAAAATAGGAAGAGATCTGAGCTTGTCTCGCTGTCAATTTCCGTGAAAAAAAAGAAAGGAAAAATTGACGTAGCCATTTGCTTAAAAGAGGTTACGGGGTTGTTAACTCCGATCTTGCAACAGATCTCTTATTTTGTCAGCTACGCCAAGTGCTCTTTGTTTTTTTTTTCCGTCTGGATTTTTCTATAACCCTTTGGCGGTATTCATTGGAATTACACAGGTTTTCACAGTATAGGGTGACTGAGTTACGTCACATTTGTATTCATGGATGCCTTACACATACAGCTGGTTGTGAGCTCTGTAAAAGGTGAAAATATACCTCACTTTTACTATTCCAACCTTGTTTTCTTTGTCATTCAAGACAATAATGACAGCTTCTTTTTCGGTGGGAGTAAAAATGTTACCACGTTCTTGAAATGAAAAAGAACCGCAACAACGTAAAAGGAATTAACCCTGACCTTTCGAAACAAAATTAGAATGATAAATGAAATTGATCAGAGAAACTTTGGATTAATGAGTCAAAGTTGATTATCATTCAGACATTTAACTAAATCCATCTAATTTGATGAGAGGGATAAACATGACTGTCTCGCTTTTGCATTCTTTACTCGGTCGTTTTTTCATATTTGCTTTCTTTGGAGGATTGAAATAAAAAGTTACTGAGGTCTTCTTACAATTGTTGTAGGATATGCGTTTTCTCTGGCTCGCTTTTTTCTGTCTGATATGATCACTTTCTCTTAGTCGGTGGAGTAAATCCTGGCTGTTCCTTTAAATGTGTTTGCCATCAATAGCATTGAGCTGACACCTGATCATCTTTCAACAAAAGCTCTTACAATAATATTGAATTTTTGGAAAGAGCAAGATTTACAGCTTGGCTATCTCTCTCAACCGAGATTAAGGAGTGTGATCGTAATCTGGAAGTTTTTGAAATCATGCCACATGAAATAGGAAAATATCAGAACGTATTAGGAATAGTACTAGTGCTATCGAGTTTTGCTTAAACGAGGTTAAAGAAGGCGTTAATTGTTTGCTATTTCATGAAATTACTCAATGAGAAATAGGAATATGTTAGAAGTTTTAAGGAATGTTGGAACACTGTTGCTTAAACGGGGTTGAAGGGTAGGGTTCCGGCTGTATCAACTTGTCTATGATATTTAGGAAATGAGAGAAAAACATTAATGGAAACATACAATTTACGGAGGAGTGTGGGGGAGGGCTAACTAGTCTCATGCAAGTTCTATGAAAATGTAAACACCAAAACTATGATAGGTGGTTTGGGACCAAGGTGTATGTTTGAAGTTCTTAGGTGGCACTCAAAAGTAGAGTTAATCAGAGCAGGCGATAACTGATATAAAGCGAAGGCGCCATGGTGGAAAGTCTAAGTGGTGTGATGGCCTTCTTCCGGTGCAAAAATGTTAGAATTTGCATTTCTATTTATTGTCAAATAACTGCGAAATGATTTTATATTGCTTTTCTCTCAATTCAGCATCTATTTTGATGTTCTGTTTCTATTCGATTAAGTTCGCGTCTTTGTTTGAGGTTGTGTAAGAATTACGTAACGCCGGTAGCAACGCAAGCGTTGTTTTCGTCTTAGTTTCGTTCTTTTTGCTAATCGCCGTGTTACTTTTGTGTAAGAGTTTTTCCTACCGGACCTGGTTACACCACAAATTTTAAGTTCGTTTATATTTCATGTAGCTCTGTCGTTATTGTTGTTGTTGTTATATTTGTACTTAAATATTTGTATTTATTATTTGTTTTCTGTCGAATCACATTTGCACATCTTTACATCCAAATATTCATCTAGCTGGAAAATAGATTAAATTTGCATTCATGCTGCGACGTTAAACAAGTAGTATTTTTGTACATTTATTTTTTTTAAATTTTTTTAGTTAGGTTATGCCAGTAGCCCATCACTTGGCCTCCTGGTCATGCTCTCATTTCGGTTACGCAATGTTGAGAGCTGAGATGAGGGCCTCAATGGGGTGATGGCTTTTACGGCTAACGGTAGAAATTTGGCCATTTTACTTCTAACGGTTAACCCAAAATGAAACATTGTGGTAAGGAAAGATTTTTTTCGCATCAAGCATCACAAAACACTTCTACTTAAGTAACGCTGAGGAGCTTTTCTCCGAAGCTAAGCGAAAAAAATTCGTGACTCGGCGGAATAGTTGAAGCTTGTCCGTCTCTTCAAGTTATCTGTATTTAAGTCAATACTTCCGGCCATTTCCCGTTACAGGGATATCGCTTGGTATTGGACGACAGCTTGTTAAGTCTGGTGATGCATCATTGCTGAAGGGAGTATAAGGGGAGCCAAGATGGACCGTAATTAAAACTTTTGCCTGAAAGGAAATTTGATCGGTACTCCGAAGGAATCCCACACGGTAAAACTAAGTTGAAAGCAGAAAGTAGATATCCATTTGGGAGCTAGTCACTGGCCTGTACAAACATCAATTAAAAAAAGAAAAAAAAACAATCGATGATGAAATGTAAATTTACCAGGATCAAATGCCTAACATAGTAAAAGGGCACTCAACCCTGTCTTAAGTTTCGTCTGATTGATTATGGTCACGATTCTCTTCAGCGGCACGAATTTTTCTTTGTTCCCCTCAAGTAGGAAACGCAGACATAACACGCTCAGCAGATTTACAACAAATTACCGGGAAGAGCTTTTTGCTTCACAGAGTCGTGGAAGAAAGAAGAAAAAATAGTCGAAAGTATCAAACTCTCGATGTACGATTCCCTGGTGTTTACGGCTGATCGGATAAGAAAACTACGTTCTAATCTTTCCGAGCTAGCCAATCAGAGCACGTGAACGGGCAAATACCATCAGGAAAAATATGAAGAGATCTCAGCTTGTTTCGTTGTCAGTTCCATGAAAAGAAGAAAGGAAAATTTGTCACAGCCATTTCCTTAAAGGAAGTTACGGGGTTGTTAATTCCGATTCTGTAACGGATCTCTGATTTTGTCAGCTGCGCCAAGTGCTCTCGGTTTTTTTTTCCCCCATTTGGATGTTTCTTTCTGCGGTATTTATTGGAATTACACTTGTTTTCCTAGTATAGGGTGACTGAGTTACGTCACATTTGTATTCATGGATGCCTTACACATACAGCTGGTTGTGAGCTTGGTAAAAGGTGAAAATATACCTCACTTTTACTATTTCAACCTTGTTTTCTTTGTCATTCAAGACAATAATGACAGCTTCTTTTTCGGTGGGAGTAAAAATGTTACCAAGTTCTTGAAATGAAAAACAACCGCAACAACGTAAAAGGGATTCACCCTGACCTTTCGAAACAAAAGTAGAATGAGAAATGAAACTGATCAGCCATACTTTGTCTCGTTTATTCGGTCGTTTTTTTGGTATATTCGCTCTCTTTGAAGGATTGAAATAAAATGTTACCGAGGTCATATTACAGTTGCTGTAGAATACGTTTCTTTAAGGCTCGTTTTTTCTGTCTGATATGGTCACTTTCTCTTTGTCGGTGGAGTAAATCCTCGCTGGTCCCTTAAACGTGTTTAACATCAATAGCATCGAGCTGACACCGGATCATCTTTCAACAAAAGCTCTTACAATAATCTTGAAGTTTTGGAAAGAGCAAGAGTTGCAGCTTGGTTATCTCTCTCAAACGAGGTTAAGGAGTGCGATTATTATCTCGAAGTTTTTGAAATCATGCCACATGAAATAGGAAAATATCAGGACGTGTTAGGACTGATAAAGGGTATTGCTCAAACGAGGTCAAAGTTTATTGTCTGCCATTTCATGAAATTACACAATGAGAAAGAGGAATATGTTAGACGTTTTAAGGACTATTGAAACACTGTTGCTTAAACGGGGTTGAAGGGTAGGGTTCCGAAACGGCTGTATTAACTCGTCTATGATATTTATGAAATGAGAGAAAAATATCACTTAAAACATACAATGCAAGGAGGAGGGTGGGGGATGGCTAACTAGTCTCGTGCAAGTTCTATGGAAATGTTAGTTTTATGCTGATGTAAATCTTACTGTGAAGGAAATCAATTTACTTCAATGTGAGAGTAAAAAACCAAAATTGTGATAGGTGATTTGGGATCAAGGTCTATGTTTGAAGTTCTGAGGTGGCACCCAAAAGTAGAGTAATCAGAGCAGGCGATAAACTTATAAAGCGAAGGCGCTATGGTGCAAAATCCGAGTGGTATACTGTGAGGGCCTTCACGTCAGACGTAACACGCAAGGAGAAATTAAATTGATCAGATATACTTTCGACTAATGAGTCAAATTGAATATCATTAAGACATTTAACTGATTCCATCAAAGTTTATAAGCAGGATAAACATGACTGTCTCGTTTTTGCATTCCTTTACTCGGTGGTTTTTCTTTATATTTGCTCTCTTTGGAGGATTGAAATAAAATGTTATTGAGGTCCTCTAACAGTTGCTGTAGACTATGTGTTTGTTTTGGATCGTTTTATCTGTCTGATATGATCACTTTCTCTTTGTCGGTGGAGTGAATTCTCGCTGGTCCTTTAACTGCGTTTAACATCAATAGCATCGAGCTGACACCGGATCATCTTTCAACAAAAGCTCTTACAATAATATTGAAGTTTTGGAAAGAGCAAGAGTTGCAGCTTGGTTATCTCTCTCAAACGAGGTTAAGGAGCGTGATTACTATCTCGAAGTTCTTGAAATCATGCCACATGAAAGCAAAAATCAGAACGTGTTAGGACTAGTGTTATCGAGTTCTACTTAAACGAGATCAAAGAAGGCGTTAATTGTCTACTTTTTCATGAGCATAAAATGAGAAAAAAAACATCAATGGAAACATACATGGTAAGGAGGAGGATGGGGTAGCTAACTAGTCTCATGCAAGTTCTATGGAAATGTAAGCTTTATGCTGATGTAAATCGTACTGTGAAGGAAATCTGTTTACCTCGATCTAAGAATAAACACGAAAATTATATGTGATTTGGGATCAAGGTCTATGTTTGAAGTTCTGAGGTGGCACCCAAAAGTAGAGTTAATCAGAGCAGGCGATAACTGTATAGAGCGAAGGCGCTTTGGTGCAAAATCTGAGTTGTGTGATGACCTTCACACGGTGCAAAAATGTTATTGCAGCGAAGAGAGTTTGCATTTCAATTTATTGTCAAATAACTGCGAAGTGATTTTATATTGTTTTTCTATCAATTCATCACCTATTTTGATGTTCTGTTTCTATTCAATTAAGTTCGCGTCTTTACGTGAGGTTGTGTAAGAATTACGTAACGCCGGTAGCGATGCAAGTGTTGTTTTCGTTAGATATTTCATTGCTAGTTGTCAACCAAGTCAGTCGTTTCGTTAGTTTTTGCTAACGCCGTGTTACTTTTGTTTAAGAGTTTTCCTACCGGACCTGGTTACACCAAAAATTGTAAGTTCCTTTTTATTTCATGCAGCACTGTAGTTGATCTTGTTTATGTTACATTTTTACTTAAATTTTTGTATTTATTATTTATTTTCAGTCGAATCACATTTACACACCTTGGCTAAAAGATTAAATTTGCATTAATGTTGTGACGTTAAACAAGTAGTATCGATCTACTTTTATTTGTTTTAATTTTGGAGGTAGGTCATGCTTTCATTTCGGTTACGCAATATTAAGACCCAAGACGAGAGTCTCAATGGGGTGATGGCTTTTACGGCTAACGGCGGAAATTTTAGCCATTTTTCGGCTAACGGTTAACCCAAAATGTAACATTGTTGTAATAAAAGTTTTTTCGCATCAAGCATCATCAAATAGTTCTAATTAAGTAACGCTGAGGAGCTTTTCTCCGAAGCTAAACGAAAAAAAATTCGTGACTTATCGGATTATCGGCATTGCTATATAGCTGCAGTGGGAGATGAGGCAGCATAAATTTGCGCTTGTGAGATCAAAATCCACTAGGGTACACTGGGGAAGAACTGACCGTCCGTGTGCGTTTTGGACTAAATGAAGCTTGTCCGTCCATTCAAGTTATCTGTATTTAAGTGAATAATTCCGACCGCTTCCCGTTAAAGGGAAATACCTTGATATTGGACGAGACACAGATAGTTCTTTGTCGTTGCATTCAATTGTTGTTGAACATATAGTCGAAAGTTGATGAGTGATCAGCTGTAAAAATACCCTGAGCCGATAATATTGAGACTTTTTTTTCTGGCACTAAGCTGTTTTGAAAACTAAGCACCTATTCTTACGAACCATGAATCAACATTTTTCGGGATTTTTGTGGTAAGAAAATTCTGGTAAGTAGGGATTTAAGGATTCGTGGTTAAGATGTTACAGTATTATTACTAAAAGTGATTAGGATGGGGTCTACAGTTCCCCCTCCCCCCTCCTCCCCCACTTCACACCTTCCTCCCGTTATTTGGTTACGTAAGGTCTCTTTGGCTACTCTCGGTTTCAAATGTCAAGAAAAACATAACAAACAGGTCAAAGGAATGGCCCCGAAAAGCTGAAAAGAGGCCAAAAACAGAAAGGAATTATCCTTTCGTTTCAACGAAAGGATATGTTAATTTTTAAGGAATTTTAATTCCTTAAAAGGCCAAATGGTGAAACGAGGTTAGCAAGGAATCGCGTTCATTAATTTACTGGAATTCTGCGGAGGTACTGAGAGTTAAGTTCACGCTGTGTTGTGCTGAAGTTGTTTTCTGGAACTCGCCCAATCAATAGTCTCCTTGCCAGAACTTTTGGAAATGTATAGAGAACAGTAGGGAGAATATGCGTACTGATGTTCGGCTATAAAGGGTTGAACATGTCTCTTCAATTTGCGCATATAATAAAGGGAATTTTGAGGAGCAGGAAGACCTTCCTTTCTTCAAATTCGGTCGTTTTTAGTGTGAAAGCTATACTAAAGAGCGATTTTCTAAAAACTCCAACTTCTTTATAAGTTTCACGCGCCTGGAAAATGAAAGAGATTAATCATTCTTGTAATATAAAACTTTTGATTTTGATAAACTGGTTAAAAGGAATCTCTGTCCATTTCAGCGTAAGAATTGTTAGTCGATGATATGATGTCTGGCTACGTTTTATCAATAATTTCGTCTTTCGGTCCTTAATCCTTAATCCTTTACACCCTAGAATCATTATGCATATTCTCATTACTTTTCTTTACACATTTCCTAAGTGCTGGCAAGGAGAATTTGTTCGACAATCAAGTGCTTCTTCAGTTGCCTATCACTTCCTATGTTTTCATGATCTTATTATAAGCAAAACACAATGTCTGCGCATAAGTTAGCTATTTCCTCGGACTTTGCGCATATACTTTTTGCGACCTAGTTATCAGTGGGTTCTTTCTTGTCGAGTCATTAAGCGTACATTTTCAGAGGTTTCAAACTGAAAATGTCAATCTGACACGCGCGAACTAAATTTCCACTGGCGGGCGTTTTGAAACAGCCGTGTAATAAGCTCCTATTTTATTTTCCAGACCTTCACGTCGTTAGAGCTCCTCACTAGCAGTTGAGAAGTTTATTCAAGGGAACATTACTAGTCATTTGAATTATTTTGAGGTGGCGTGGAGTTGGGGTTTATTTATGGTAAGAGGGCAGGCTTTCCTTCCTTCATCTAACAAATAAGGAGGTTATGATCTTTTCATAAGTTCAGTGGGCAATGAGAGTGAATGAGACTGATAATGACCAGGTCATTTGTGCAAATATTCAGAATAAGATAAAAGCAGGACATGGTCTACACAACTCTTCTGATTCAATTTTTTTTTTAACTTTCTTGCAACAAAATACCAAAAAGGTGCTCTTAATTTATGTGCCCCTTGTTCGGGCTGTCACTTATGCCTCCATCAGACCTACCAAAAATGGTTTATTATGGTGATCCCGATCCGAGGTCAAGAAGCAGCTCCTATATCATTAGAAAGATTATATTTTCATTTCATCAACTGTTAAACATTATGATTTAGCTGCAAAAAATTCTCATTAACCAAAAATTACAAATCGCGTCTTCAATAGTCTAAAAGATAGGTTGCAACTACATATTTCCAATCGACATATGACCATTTCGCTTTTGTTACGTCAACACCATGACCGAGCACTACAATAATTTGTTCGGTCCATGTAACCACGGAAACATTTAATTAACTGTTACCTTGTAATAGGAATTTACGTAGGCCTTCGCTAACGAGAAAAGCTTCACAGTTTATCCATAGGACTGTAAATATGCTATGAATTAACGACACTATAATTTCTGATTTTGGGGAGATAAGTTTCATAAAATTTGCACTCAATTCAAATTAAAAGTGTGTTTCATTTCATTATTTTGCATATGTGACTTTGCTTTAATTCCTGGAGATGAAGCGAAGGTATAATTCCCCAACTTTCAGATGAATTTCAGCAATACGATGTACAGCTTTTGTCTAGTAAAAAATGTTTTAATCAACTCATTGAACACATTTACTTTATAACCAGACGCTAATAATAATCTTTATTACAATAAAATCTTTAGTTTGGTATGAATTTTGTAAATTTTTCACATAAACTTTTCTGCATGAAATGAATGATAATCTTCAGTAAAGCAGTAGATACAAAAATAAAATGATTCAGGACTTGTTACTTTACCATGTTGCACAAACTTAAATGAACTAGTTACATCACTCAGTTCCTTTTAAGAAAAAATTAACATGCGTCTATTTGAATAGCGCTATACAGCTGAGGAAGACACGGCAGACTACACATAGGGGCAAATACGAACGCTCCAAGCTGACAATGTCACATGATTTGTTGCTGATTGCTCCACTAACTGGTCAATTCGCGGTAAACTTCTATCTCGTCGGGGCTGAAATTGTTGCTTCCTGTCCACACATAATTGTTGCAGTTTGGAACGTAGTACGAGCTACAAGTAAATCGAGAATTGTAGTTTCTATTTGCATAGCTTGAAACATAAATATCATGTCCCGAACCGAAGATCGGACCATAATAGTAATAGCTGTACATAGCGTAATAACTACTGGTAATGTCCCTTTTAAAATATCCAGATCCTTGATAGTTTTTGAGAGAAAATATGAAGGCTTTTGATGAAGAAATGTAGCCTCCGTACCCTGAAAAAAAGCACATAAGGTAGATAAGAATTATCCTCTAATACAAATGAAAATATGTAACTTGATAATTTGGGTTTAACACAAAAAAAAATAAATAAAAAGCAGACATCATGCAATGAGACAGAGACTAAATATGAGACTAAGGGGACTTAATGACATCAAATATGTTGTACTTAGGGCAGTGGCATCCACCTTTTGACAAGGCTTGGACCCCTACCCTATTGAGCTGATCGACAGAACAATTGCCTCTGGACGAGAGTAGTTTACATGAAAAAATTATTCAGTTCTTTTGGTTAGAAAACAGTGCAGTTTTTATGTAACACGGATGCAAATCTTTTAACACTCTGGCAAATTTTTAACACAAGAGCAAACTACAGAAGGACTCTTTTCAAGTTCAATGACTTTTGAATCATATTCTTGTAAAAGTTTGAATTTGTCAAACGTCATCACCTGTTTCAACTACCAATCGGCACTCGATGTGGATAACCTGTACTTAAGCTACCTCGTGTAATTAATGACTGACAGCGTGAACCAAGCGTAAATATGGTTTTGAATGAAAGTTCATTCCACAAACTAAGTATTTTCAACTTTTTGTAATTTTCAAATATGAAAGGAAGACTTGATTGTCGATTGTTTTTTGTTTTTATTGTTTGTTTTTTTTGCAAAAACGGTGGCAGTTAACGAACTTACGTCTCCACGACTGATCAGTGTAACCGCCAAATATGTAACCATGAGCGCGAATGATTGTAACTGTGGGTCCACGGTTATCACAGTGGCGGTGAAATGTCGATCCACTCCACCCATGGCTTGAGGCTCTATAACATAGACTCCAGTAACTGTTAGCCTGATTCTGCAAGCGGGAATGTAGCCAAGAATGTAACTGGGACATTTTTCTGGTGTCTTTGCCTATGATTTTTGAGTCACCAAGTCCTCCTAACAAATAAAAAGGCAAATAAACGTAAGTGGTGTAAAACCTTTCCCGTAGACGTCACGTCCAAAGGAGAAATCGGGGCTTGTTTTTTATGTATGTTTCATCTCACGACGTTTGTGGGGAAAAGGGAAAAAGCGGAACGCGCGGGTTTAAGAAGAGATTGAAATTAAAAAAAACAACAAAAAAACATCGCGTTACCCTTGCCGATTTTGGCTCACCTACATTTTTGCTCGTCCTCAGCTTGGGTTGTGATCACCTTTTTTCCACAAAGAGGTGATCATTAAACTATCTGATGTTCAAGGACTTACTGAAAGGATGACATGTTGTCCCGTTTCCATAGTAATGAGCCACATGGCTACACTGGCATGTAAATGATCCTGGAGTGTTAGTGCATTGTGCGTTGGCATCACAGTTATGACTGTTGAGCGTACATTCGTCGGCATCTATATCAGGAGAAAAAAAATGTATCTAGAAATTTGCACGGATCATAATGTAGTCTTTATAGCCGCTTTTGGGCACTCACCAGATAGAGCTGCTGGAGAGACCTCACAAATTGTAAGTCTTTCAAACTAGCTATTTAATGTTCTTATTGCTCGCCCAGCCAAAAGTTCTAACCCTACATATTTCCCTCGTAACCTCTCATAACATACAACATGCGTGTGTTGGAGTATTTTGACCACGATCTCAAAAACATAAAGAAAACCACAACAAAGGAGACTGTGAACAACCTAAAAGATCATGGAACTTATAAACTGCTCTTAAATAACCATTTCAAACCTAATATCAGTATGCATATTCTACATACTGCTCTCAATACATTTAATAAGATGTTAAAAAGACGAATAAGATGTTGACAATTAAAACCTTCTGTAGCTGGTGATCATTTCCTTTATTTTCATTCATTAAGAAATTACTTGAAAGGGGGGTTGGGGGTAATTATAGGGAGAAATTTTGTGTTCGTCACTCTTCGAGTTAAAGGATAAAGATAAATGTTGAGGCAGCAATTCCAGTGAGGGTCATTGAAAAACATGGAAAAGGATAAAATTCGAAACCATCTTCTCAGGGTCTCTTCTTCTGACTTGGAAGTGTAGATGTCAATTGTTTAGACAGCAAAAATGGTCGGAATGAAATGTTATGGACTTGAAAGAGCCGGTATATGGAAAGTTCTTTTATAGACTGAAATTAGGAGAAACTGCGAGATGAGATTTTCAAAATCTTTCCGTGTACCTGTGCAGTTTATTCCATCTCCAGTGTAACCATTAACACAAGTACATGTATACGATCCAACCGTGTTTTGACAAGTGGCGTTATTATGACACTTATGACCTGAAGAGCATTCATCTATGTCTGCAATGAGAAAGAAAACAAAATGCAAAAATGGTCAAAACATGCGCATTGTTTATTAAATCAGGGCGTTCTGTTGTAAAGATTATACTGCAAATGATCATGATGGTCAAGACTTTTACGATCAGAATTATTAACTAGTATCGTTCAATCAGTCACAATACAGATTATTAAGACTGTTAATTACCATGCTCTGACATTTTGTCCTCTCTATTTCGATAGGTAAATGTGAAATTATGACATTTATGAAGTAACAATAGAATAAAAACACAACGCTACAAGCATAGACGTTGCTAAGCCGTGTTTCTGAATGTAAACTCATCGAAGTGAATTTCGTTGTCAATACCTGCACAATTTCGACCATCACCGCTATACCCACTGTCACAGTGGCAGTTGTATGATCCATGAGTATTTGTACAAATCCCATTCTGGCTGCATCCATGACTGTTTCCTTTGCATTCATCAAGGTCTTACAGTGAAAAGTGAAAAAAATTTGACTGAGAAAACTACTAAAGGGAAGACAGAGACAACGTTAAAAAAGAAATAAATTAGCAAACAAGCTAACAATCGGAAACTGACAAGTCATAGTCGGAAGTAGGGAGAGTAGGAGGAACGAAGGGAAAGAGGGACGGAGTATGATTTTTGTATCCAAATTCCAGTTATTCCGGATGTTCTAAGCACGAGGTACTCTTTCGGTCGCAACCTGTTATGATTAAAAGGATATGGTTTGCAAATGTACAAAAAATTGCATTTACCATCAAAACATGTGTAATTATGACAGCTCCTGCAATTTACGTCATTCCAAGTAAATTTATGTGCAACTCCCAAGGTGTGAACGCAGTCCTCGTTCAATTTGAAATCGTTGGGTTGATGTGGAGCCCAGTAAGTGAAGTTGCTTGACTGGTTACCAGCCCAGACAAATGTACCCTCGGTATCTCTATCATTAAATCCAATCCACCCTTTATCTCCATTCAGACGGTGCTGTATATAAACATTTTCTTCTTGATTTTTTACGGTGATGAGGCTGGTGTTGTATATTTGGCAGGTTTTCTGAGCTTCAGTCCAGTTTTTGCATGTCTGACTTGTGGAGTAGCAAAAGCCGGAAAAGTAAGACCAGCCTGGTTTACACACGTCTATACCAAACAAACATAAAAAATATAGTGTATTTGTTTCATCAGTCTACTAATAATCAAGTTTAAAAGGAAAAATTTGAAAAGGAAATCAAATATAATGACCTATTTTCATTCGCAGTTGCGCTTACCTGTTAGAACAATGTAAGACACGGTAACTGGGTCATGCTGATCAGCGAACAACTCTTTGAGACAAATACGAAATTCTGATGTCTTGATATGCTGCAGAGAAGTTATTCAATTAGAAGGAAATTCCCAGGCTGTTGCGAGTATTAACATTTTCAAAAAAGAAAAGGCTAGGTATAAATTTACACCAGTCACAGTTACGGTTGAGCTGACTAAATGGATCTTCAAAATGCATTAAACACATCAGCACATAATTAACTGGAAATAATAAAAGAAAATTGAAAGAATACCTCTATCCATGCAGTAACAGATATGTACTTTGGCTCAAGGTTGTTTCCTTTTGAATCGTGATTCGCGGTGATCATTATCGTGGGTTCCTTGTCATAAGACTTTGCCAATTGCAAGTCCTGTAAAGAAAAGCAGACAAAGGTATCGAGTCGCAGCCAGAAAATAGACAGGAAAAAAATACCACAAAGGCGATTGTTTAGAGAAAAACTGTGATCAGCTATAAACGTTGCACTTAGATCTTTTACTCCACTTCGATGAAGTAATGATGCAGGTGGCAAACTAGTTCTTGTATTTATAATGATTAGAAAGAGAGGAATAGATATGGTGATAAAATAAGAGAAAATTGATTGAATAGTCAGACTAGCTGAGAACTAATCAAAGCAGAAGCTGTAATTTGCACGGCAGTCTTTAATTAGTTCTCGCCGAAACATTCATAAGTTTTGATATATTCGTCTTGAACGTAAATCGATACATTCAGCTTACCTTGCAGAACGCACCATTGTAGTTTGCAGAAACAGAGCCATTGTTAGGAAAGTGAATTTTTCTACTTTCAGCGAAAAGCGGGCGATGAATTTCTTCAAAAGCCATCCAGTTCTTAAAAGACAAATTCAAACAACGCGTCGAAATAAAGTTTGTTTATCATAAACTATGAAAAATCGGCAATTTCGGTCGGAAGATACAACGCAAATGATAACAATTATTTCGTTTCTCTCTATCAATAAAAGGCATCCCAAAATTGTTTGAATAAACCGACCGAAGTCGTTCTTAACACGTGTTGAAATTAAGTTTAAAAATTGATGTTCTCTTTTCGAATGGCGTATGTCTACCTTTATTTTGGATAAGGATATTCTGTTGTACTAATAGTGTACCGAGTACTTTTCCTGCGTGAATGGCTAACAGCTATGTAAACTCAATTAATTACTATGCGAAATAAGGAAAAGAAACAAAAACAAACAAACAAACAAACAAACAAAAAATGAAATGAAACAAAACAAAATAGAACAAACCAGACAAACACGCAAACAAGCGAATAAAGTAGCAGGAAAGAAAGGGCACATATATGATTAAGCTTAAAGACTTTATGAAACTTGGGATTTCTGAAGACATACTCTACTCGAACTGTCACACATATTGGGTTGGTACATACCACGAGTATATCCTCATGAAGACCATCGTAATTTTGTAACTCTCTGAGGCAAACGTGAAAGGAAGCATTGGTAGGATTTTCTACCCACAGACTGGCAGCGTCGTGTTTGTAAGCTGAACTTACGTGATCTGCTGTCACCAGAATAATGGGTGTAGCAGAAAATTTATCCTTTGTAAAGAATTCATAGTTGTTAGTTGCCGATGTAAGAGAAAAAGAAATCATCCAAAACCGCAGCATCACTATAGTAAAGATTTGGTTGGGGAGTGCAACTGGCTTTGTAATCGACTTTTTAAATAGAAACAGCGGTATGAAAACCTTCCATCTAAAAGCGGTAGAGGAGAACACGGAAGACAGCACCCTGATCAATCTATAATTTCAGTGAACATAAAGCCATACTTACCTTTGGCAGACTAATTTCTACGCACTTCGTTCCAGTCCACCATTCTGGAATACGTGTATATCCTGCTACACCTCCATTTGGAGCTCCTTGGTAAGCCATCCAGTCGACTGTCGCAAATTCTTTTGTGCCACGGTCATTTCTCCCTGCAGCCGTCGTACAAACCTTCAAGAAATAAATATATTACGATGAACAAGAACTCCTCTAAAAAAGCGTTCTTAGTCTCGATGAAATTAATTTTGCTTTCAAACTGAAGATGATCTAATTTCAACTCAAGTGAGAGTGAAGTCACGACTTTTTGCCTAAACGCACAAGGAATTGACAAAGATGCATGGAGGAATGCTTTCAAATGGTGGTTTAATGTATAACATATTATGCATTTAAGAAACATTGATGGATTAAGAGTGTTGCCTGTCGATGTACAGCAGTGTAGAATTAAAATAACCGTTTTCATTAAATAGTTGTTTTTTCCTAGCTACCAAACAAAAATTTTCGAGCGCGGTATAACAAGTAGAGCCTGAAACAAATCCATTTAATGTTCATTAAATTATTTCTTCCAAGTAATAGGAGAAACTAACCCTGAAATTTTGGTAATTGACATTTTCTACCCACGAGACGGTGGCTTCGTGTACGAAATTCATCCTGGTCGAGTTCCAATGATTGGTAGTAATCTGCACATGCACTGCTTTGTCAGGATAGAACGAAAATGGCGGGAAGTTCACCAACTCGCAAGCTGTCTCCGCCCAGGAAACATCTCTCTTCAATTCCACTCTTCCTCTTTGAACCGGAAAACCTAAAGAAACATCGAAATGGCATTAATATTCAGCGATGTGCTGAAGATTGGTGTTTATTCTCTCTTTAAAAAGTTTAAGTTATTACGCTAGTATCTGATGGTACCATTCCAAAACAAGAAACTACATCCACTTTCATCCTGTCAGTACTGGCTAAGGATATAACTCTGAGATTTTTCTCTAAGACCTAAAGCCATGATTGGTAGCACAAATGCGTAACCTATCCCAATCACCTGAGCCTTAGTTAAAGCACCAAACTTAGGCAAATTTTTTTCCTTAGATATCTAAGGTGTCAGTCAATGTACATCATTATAGTGGCGGCGTATCCTTGTTTCAATCTTTTCATGAATTAGGCAGCAGTTTTTACGATTCGTTAGTGGGCTTCTTTGTGTGCCTAGGTACAAAATAAAACGCTCTTGATTCTATCAACTCCAAAAAATGCGAACGATCGCAGATAGAAATATCTCTTCTTCTTACCATTACAACTTCCAGGATGATACAGAGTGTGGTTGCTCTTCAGTCTGCATATATCCAGCTCAAACATGCACTTGTTTTTGAACGTAGTCGAGTTAGATGAACACACTTGTTCTTCATAAGAAGGGCAGTTTTCTTCGCACACACAACGGGCGTCAAATGCGTCGAAAGCCTTGCAGACAGCAAAGTAATCGCATGTAACGTTGATGCACGGGTCAAGGTCTTTGGAATAGTATCAAATATAATCAGCAAGTGAGCAGTGCTTATAGTGTTTCAAAATTAAGGTGGGGTCTACATGAGATAGCGACACTCCTGACTGGCTTAATTTTCTCGCCTTCTATTACATCGAGTCACTAAGATTATCGTAATTCCTCTCGAAAAGTGGCGGCCATTTTTTCTAAAATTAGCCATCGCAGTACTTCAATTTAATAGAAACACACGTAATTCTTTCTTGAAGTTGGAAAGGAAAATCAAACTTGCAACAAGCAAATAAACAAGGAGACAATTTCGAAGACGTCTTTCCGTTTTAATTGAAATCAGCAGTTAAAGACTCATTTCTTTTTTGCAAGGTCTTAAAGAATCTATAAATACGATAAGGAGGCCACCTCATATTAAATATTGCTTTGAACCACATGTACAGTTAAAAAAACAAACAAAAACAAAAAACAAAAGTGAAAGGTGAATCTTGCTATGTTGATGATAATTCGATGATAAGAAATGAAGGTTATTGAACTCGTTATCCAAATACAAACAGGCATATGAGGCGAAAATCGGGGGTGTTTTCAGAGCTGTAGTGTTGCTAAGGTATTCTCACATGTCTGAAAATAAATGAACAAAACTTGCTAAGAAAAAAATTCAAATGCAAGAATTGGTGTATAAAACTGAGGAAACCAACGCAAGCCACCTTTCAGTTTCTTTTAGGTGAGTGATTTCATAGTTAAGGTAGCTTGAGGAAAGTGCTTCATGCCAGCCCATGATTTGGAATTCCTAGTAATTTCTGATATGCCTCGCTATTGGTAAAAGACAAGGACAAAGCAAATTTAAACTATTTGTCTATTGCCCACCTCCAATGATTGCATATTGTACGGTTATTAAGTCATGATTCTTGCTTAATCCCTGGCTGTCCTTGACACAAACCTTGAATGCTGACCGACTGACCTCCTACAAGAGCAAATTGAAAACAATTGGTCATTACTTTAAATTTAAAATAATGTCAGCCCCACCTCAAATACAACTGACATCTGAATTACTAAGTTGAGAGGTGATTCCTAAAACCCTTTGGAGAAATTAACGCGCGAAAAATGATATCTGTTCTAATTAATTCCTTAATCCTCATTTCCATGAGTTGCAGCCCCCGATTGCTTTAACAATATACGTGCTCTATCTTTTGCAACAAACATCACAAACACATGGACAATAAGGCAAAAAAACGCACAAAAAAATCCAAGCAAAGGAGGACAGAGAAACAAACCAACAAACGGATGCAAGGAAAAATAGTAAAAACAATTATCTCATATGAATATGTTACCTCTATCCAAATGTTTATAGCATTGTTACAACGACCTTCTGAGTTGCCCCATAATGCACTTGAGATGTTTTCGTGACTTCCAGATATCAAGACTGTAGGCGGCTCGTAAAATGGGTTTTCAAACTTAAAATCCTGATTTCAGACACCAAAAAATAGACTTAAAACTTTCAACGATGGTTAGACCTGTTCATGAAAATAGATATGTAAAAAGCTCTCTTGACCTCAGCATGTTTGAAATGTTCAAATTAAACTCTTCCTATCACCTTGGCTACGATCAAAAATAGCAAAAAAGAAAAGAACAAAAACAACAGCAAAAAAACATCGAAAAAATTAAATAATCATGCCAGAAACTTCCCACCTGGCAAAAAGCGTAATTATTTTTTCGTAATGGCGCACTATTTCCGGCGAAATGAATCTTTCCTTCTTCAGTGAAGTTCCAGTTGGAAGGTAACAGGTCATAAGCAAACCAATGCTGGTGAAGCCAAAAGTATAAATCAATTATTAGAAAAGAAAAAAATTAACAGTCAAATATTATAAACTATACAAGAAAAATATAAACTAAGCTGTTGTGAAACAAGGGAATAAAAGGCCTAAAAACACAAAAAGACGATGCGAAAAAAAAAGGAAGATAGAACTAATCAACTCAGTTTGCGCCTTACATGAACTTTAGGAATTACATAGGATTCCGTCGCTTCAATCTGAGCGCAGTACTGCTCATTTATCGCAAAATTTTGGAGAGTCAACGTACCACTTTGAGGTCTGAGTGAATGCCATCAAACGCCATGAACTCTCTCATACAGACATTAAATTCATTTCTGCTGACATTTTCCAGCCATAGATTCATGGAGTCATAGGGTCTGTCTGTATGTTTATGCTGAACAGTAATGAACACTTTTGGCTTGTTCTTGAAACCCTGTGAGAGAGTGAGAGGAAAGTGAGTAAATCAGAGACTTAGAAACTTAAAAATTGAGCTTTTAGAGTCTCCTTTTCCGTTCCAGGGGCAAGAGGTGAATCTGTATACGGTTCAGATGAAAATTAAGAGATATCAGAAGTAATTTTTTATTTTGAAGTTCGCATTCATTTGAATAAAGCTTGTTTCAACAGTAGCTTGACAACTAAACCGTATGAGAACATTCTTGGCTAATACAGTCACACGCTAAACACGTTACGAATGAGACTTACATTACTTTGGTTATCGGTGATCGATACTCGCTTGCACTGTGTCCTTGTGGTCCATTCATCAAAGTCCACGGTGCCAGACTTAATTCCTTGATGAGACCCCTGAAATGCGAGCCAATTGATAACAGACGTGCCTGCTGAACCACTTCCTGCCTCGCGAACACAAACCTTAAATCCTGACGTAGAGATCGATTTTACCCACAGTACTGCTGGGTCGTGGATTTTGATATGTTTGTTGCCATGACTAAGAGTAACAAAGACTTTGACGTCATCCGAGCCTTGGAACTGGGTTTTGAACGAGACGGACTGGCAACCATGATTGTTTTGGGAGGTGTCAGTTATATTAACCTCTCCAGCTTGGAAGACATCTACTAAAAGGAATATCGGAAAAAGGTGGTCAATATTTTTTCCGAACCTAAGAAAAATAAAAAATGCTGAAATTTAACTGGAGTTAGCTATAATCGGTGTCTTTTAGCGAATTTTACCCTAGTTTTAAGAAAATGTATGCAACGAAAATTGATTTGTTCACCCCAAAATTTCTGCTGCTACGCATTCAGCAAAATGATCTTAACACGCATGGACTCATTAACATTCACAAGACTGAAAAGGTGGACTTAGGGGTGACTTTGAGGCCCCAAGGTAAAATATTGTGCAACTCTTAATGATAAAATGAACAATCGAGCCACATTAAAATTCTTCGCCTCGACTATCTTGTGGCGGAGGATCTAAAATCTACGTAGTTGCACGGGTGTATTTTTCTCCAGAGGCGCTTCACACCCATTAGGCGTTGTCCCAGATTGGTAATTTTGCCTGATCTACCTTGTAAACCAGCTCGAAAATTGAAAATTAGCTGACAGTTGGATAATTAAGAGATGTATAAAAACAATGTTCCTATATTTTTTTTCATCTACTCTGCAGATCAAGCCGTGAAATCAAATAAAGCATAATCAGCAAGTTTAGCATTGGGACTGACGTTTGTCTAAATAATGTAGAACTATCAAATCAAACCAGCTAAAAAATCAACGGGATACTTACCGCTACACAGACACAGCTTGAGAGAAATCACTAGCAAAGCAAACAGCCCAAAAAACTTCGTAAAGGTCATTCTGTGGCAGCATGCAAAAGTTGCAACCTAGCTGAAAGCTCCTCTGATCCCAAGCATTCAGAACGAAATGCGAACAGAAGCGGTCAGAACATGCTTAAATGCTGCTGTCAGATTGAGGAACAAGTGACCTGATATATCCGATAGAATCAAGGTTAAACGTAAGTCGCTAAAAGCTGCTTTTTTGGAAGAATTACCGAAAATTAATCAATAAGTTTGGATAACCAACGCAATGGTCACCTTTGCACCATTCTGTGGATATGCTTTTCTTCTCAGATGAAGATCGGAGATGGGTCTTTTAACAAATTTTAAATGTCGACCACTACGTCTTTTCTTTCCTCCCTCTTTGTTTTCGCTTAGTTTTGTTCTTCTTTCGCAACAGTACGCAAATACTCCTAATTAAGTAACGTGCGCCGTGCTGGTGCTTGTTGGATTATCCTGTTATAAAAATAACTCTGAATTCTTGGAAAAGGGTTGTTTGGCACGCGTTTACAGAGTGCGATTGTTGTCTTTAATTCTCGAAGTTATGCCGTTGGAAACAGGACTGTTATAAAAAATGTCAAGACTGCTGAAGATAGCTAGAGATAAAGGGTAACCAAAATGGGCGTATTGAAAACTGTTTGCCTCTTTCTACATAGCAAAGTGTTGAAAGACCAAATAAGGAATTCCTTTGTAGACCTGTTTTTCTTCTCTAAGAGAGATCCGAGAGGGGTCAAACAATCCTTTTCTGTTGTTCCTTTTTTTTTAATTTTTCGGTTTTTCTTTTGTATTAGTGCACTGATACTTTTTGATTGCATAACATGTGCCGCGCTTTTTTGGATTATCCGGGTATCCTAACAACTCTGAATTCTTGGAAAAGGGTCTGTAATTTCTCGAATTATGCCATTAAAAACAGGATTATTGTAGAGCATGTTCAGACGTAACACTACTGAAGGGAGCTTGGGGTTAAAGGGGTAACAAAAATTAGGCCGTATTAAAAACTGTTTGCTTCTTGCTGCATAGCCGATTTGCTGAAATACCAAAAAATTCTTCTTTTATGGACATGTTTTTCTTCTCTGACGAAGACCAGAGATTTAATTTTTAAAAACATAGTCAGCTACTGTGTCTGTTGTTTTTTCCTTTCAGTAACTTTGCCTAGCTTTATTTCTCTCTCACATTAGAACGCTGATACTTTGAAAGTATATGGCATGCGCCGTTCTTGTTGAATTTTCCTGCTATCAAAATAATTCCGAATTCTTGGAAAAGGGCTGGTTATTTGCCACGCGGTTAAAGAGTGCGATTTTTATCTGTAACTTCTTAAAATCATGTCGGTAGAAACAAGGCAATTGTAGAACGTTCTAGGACTGATGATTTAGTAGTTCAGAAGGAAAGTTAAGAGGTTTTCAAAATGGGCTTTATTGATAACTGCTTGCTTCTTGTTTCATAGCAATTTGGCAAAATACCCTAGTATTTCTTTGTGGAAATGATTTCCTTCTCTGAAGGAGGTGAGGAAGGATTTTAGGGTATTTGTTAATTACCGCCTCTGTCGTTCCTCTTTTTTTAGTTTTTGTTTTTGTTTTGTTTTTCTTCAGCATTAGTGAGCTGATAATTTTTTATTGCATAACGTACGCCGTGATTGTTGGATTATCCTGTTCTTAGAATAATCCCGAATTCTTGGAATAAGGTTAATTGCCGCGCTGACTAAGAGCGCGATTGTCGTCTGTAATTTCCCGAAATCATACCGTTAGAAACAGAATTATCGTAAAGTATATTGAATACTGTTTGGTTCTTGATGCGTAGCAATGTGCTGAAAGACCAACAAAATCCATCTACCGTGGACATATTTTCTTCTCTTTCGAAGATTAGAAATTGAAATTTAAAAACGTTGTCAGCAATTGTGTCTGTTGTTTTCTCCTTTTCGTAAGTTTTTTTCATAGTTTTGTTTCTCTCTCCCATCAGGACGCTGATACTTTGATAATATATGGCATTCGCCGCTCTTGTTGGATTATCCTGTTGTCAAGATATTTCCGAATATTTGGAACAGGGTTAGTTTATTGCCACGCGGTTAAAGAGTGCGATTGTTATCTGTAACTTCTTTATATCACGCCATTAATTAGAAGCAGGGCAATTGTAAAACATTTTAAGACTGGTGATGCCACTCTGCAGAAGAGAGGTTAGGAGGTAACAAAAATGGGCTTTATTGAAAACTGTTTGATTCTTTCTTCATAGCAATGCGGTGAAATTCACCCCCCCCCCCAAAAAAAAAAAAACAATTAATAAACTAAAACAAAACATTCCTTTGCGGACCTGTTTTTCTTCTCGAAGAGGGATTTTAAGTCACTAGTTAGTTACTACCTTCGTTAGTTCCTCCTTTTTAGTTTTTGCTCGGTTTTGTTTCTCTCCGATACTTTGATAACACATGGCGTGCACTTTGCCTGTTGGATTATCTTGTTACCAAAATAACTCCGAATTCTCGGAAAAGGATAGGTGTCACGCGGTTATCGATTATCGTTAAAAAAAAAGGTTAAAAAGCGCTATTGTCGTCTGCAAATTGTTGTTTTTATGCCATAAGAAATAGGGCAATTGTGTAACACTGGTAAAGGAGGTTAAAGAGTAGCCAAAATGTGTCGTTTTGAAAACCGCCTGCGCCAAGCAAAAATGTGTCGTTTTGAAAACCGCCGCGTGGAAGGATGCTAAGACAGTCAAACCAGACCAATTCCCTGAACCAAAGGCAATTTTTGCATCTGGGTGTCGTCGTTATGCACTTCCATCTAAATTACATAGAGTCAAACCAGACCATCAGAACCAAAGGGTTGTTGTAACGCAATAATCAAGTATCACTATAAAGCGTGATTGTTGCCTTTAAATTGTTGAAATCATTCCGTAAGATACAGGGCGCATGCAAGGCATGTTAAGAGTAGTAAAGAGTAGCCAAAATGAACTGTGTGGAAAACTGTCTGCGTAGGAGTGAGTTGAAAGAACAACGAAAGAAGGTTCATTTAACTACTTCTTGCTTTTACTTACAAGCAGAAGAAACACAAACTATTGCCCACTAACAGTCCATAACTCGTGCGGTGCATAAACAGTTACAAGATAAGAATTCCATGAACTATTCCTTCTTTTCGTTATTACTTCGTTATCATTTAAGCGAAATGAGGGGAAAATGAATAAAGCTACTTTTAGAGGCAAAAGGCAAAAGTCTTGGCACAATCTACTACCACTATTACTACCCTACTATACTACTACTACTACTACTACTACTATAACTTTCATTTATCTCTCCCTCTTCCCATTTCAAGGTTTTTCAAAGCCTTCTGGTTTTTACAAAATGGTCCTTAATTTCTTAAAACATTTTTTTGGGGAAAATGAGGGATTTTCAAGGTTCTTATTGTATATATATTTTTTATCATGTTTCGTGGAGGGTCGTTGAACACCTATTGAAGGGAGGCGTGCCGACATTTGCCAATCGTTGTAGTTATTTAAGAAGTTTAGGGGCGAGTAATCCGGTTTTGGTTCTCTGAAATATTTTTTAAAGATCACGACTTTCCAAAGGTACAGTAACTGCACGTGCTCTTAATTAGATTTTGATTTTCTTTGAGAAATAATTTGAAATCGGAAGTTTTTTTAACTTAGCTCTCTCTAGAAAAGACATTTGTATGGTATTCCAAAGGAGCCAACGTCGAGACGGTAATACTAAGTCGAAAGCAAATAAATAACCATTCAAGAATTAGAGTAACTAATCACTGGCCTGTATAAACAGTAATAAAAAAAATTGACGATAAAGTTTTAACTCACGAGAATTACATGCCTAACATAATGAAAGGGCACTTAATCCTGCCCTAAACCCCGTCCAATTGAAAGCTATTCTTTTGTCCTTGATTTTCCAATGCCAGGGAAAACAAATACTCAAAACGTTTAGCAGATTATAAACAACTTGACGTGAGCATTAATTCGGTGCAATTCTTCTCGGATTTTAAATACCATGAAAAACCAAGGAACAAGGTCAAAAAACAGAAAGTAATATTATTTCTGTTGTGAACAAAGAAAAACACATGTCAGTTTTGAAGAATTAAGGCCAACATGGTGAAACAAGGTTAACATGGAATCACATTCTATATTTTATTGAATTCAGTCTGTGTTGGCACGGAAAGCTAAGTTCACGCTGTGTAGTATTGAGTTGTTCTCTGGAACTCACTTACTAAATAGTCTTCAATAGTTCGCCCACGCGCTATGGCGCAAAATCTGGGTAGCGGTGAATTAATTCATATCTCTATTACTGTTGAATCTTTTCTTATTTTGGTATTTCACAATGTAAATTAGTTTAGTCTTTCTTTCGCTTGTCTCACTGAATACGACAGACGTTATCGATAAAAGGGCAAATTAAAGGATTGACCAACGGGATTTCTTAAAACTCGCCTTTCTAAGGTGCAAACTTTCATTGTCTCGCAAACGCCTTTGTAGATTTAAGATATATCTTCAATTTCCACCTGTAGAAAAGGGAAATTTTGGACCCAAGAGAGACCGTCCACTGTATATAAAAATGTACCAAATTCTGTTGCTTTGAGAACAGAATGAAAGAGATTTTTCAAAAGCGATTTTCTGAAAACCCAACTTCCTTACACTTTTTCACAAGTGGCAAATGAAAGATTAGTCTATTTCTACCAGAGAATTATTTTAAATTTTGTAATCTTCATCCATTTCAGTTGGAAAATTGTTGGTCGATGAGATGATGTCTGTGATTTTAGTCTCTTTTAGACCTTCACCCTCTACACCCTAATGTTAGTATGCATATTCTTCATACTCTTCTTCATATTTCCTAAGGTGCTGACAAGGAGAATTCGTTTAACAGTCAACAGCTTTTTTAGTTGTTGATTAATTCCGTTATTCTCATCACCTTAAACTGATGTGATTCAGAGGTACGAAGAAGAAGAAATTAGCTTCTCGTCACTCCTAGCTGGGGTTAAAGGATCAAGATGCTAATACCGTGTTAGTTTTCCGGCAAAATCCCCGCCAGGATTATTCAAGACATGACTATTGCAAATTTCGCTTCAACTTTAATTCCCTTTTGA